ATTAAGAAATTGAAATGTTAAGCATTCATCAAATGACAGAAATATAAATCTTGTATATCCACTTTTCAAGAAAGGTGATATTTTTATTTTTTGTTAATCCTCACCTGAGGATATTTTTCCATTGATTTTTAGATAGAGTGGAACAGAAGAGGAGAGAGAGAAACATCCATGTAAGAGACGCATCGATTGGTTGCCTCCTGCATGACCCCAACTGGGGCTGGGGATGGAACCTGCAACCCAGGTATGTGCCCTTGACCAGGAATCAAATCTGTGACTCCTTGGTCCACAGGCCCATGCTCCAATCGCTGAGCCAAACCGGCCAGAGTGAAAAGTGATATTTTTAATCAGTTGATCTCATTTTTATTGTATGTCAGTATAGCTGAATTTTAGATTACTCATCTTATGTAAATGTATTTTTAATCACCCTGGTGAATACTATTTCAAGTATCTTGTATATGTAAGACTGTAAAATATAGAAGAAAAAACAGATATTTTGTGTTTGAGAGAAACTTTTGAGAGGATTCTATTGGAGGCAACAATTCATTTTAGAAACCGGCTATCCAATGCCTATAATTCAAAGAGGAAGTAAGAACTTTGTGGTGTGGGAGTGGTATGCATATGGGCAAATAAGTTTAAAAAAAAAAAGATGGTGCAAGAGACAAAATTTAAAACCAGACTTCCCTTTCACTCTAGACTGGTAAGCACCATATATTTGCATTTCATATACAGTGCTAATTTTCAGTACAAGATTGGTAATTGATTTATGTTGTTATTGTTAGCTTATAGTGAATCTGATTTGACAAATAATAGGAATGGTATCACAGTTTCTTTATTATAAAAGAATGTAAATAGCATTAAAAATTCTCCAGATACTGTTACCCCATCCCCATTTAATAATTTCTCATTTTTTCCCATTTCTGCACTGTTTTTTTACTTTTATATCTTTTATACCCTCCCCACAATTTTTTTATTCCTTTTCTTACCATATCTCTTAGCTCAACTTTCTTCCTTTTCTATTTTACTGTTTTCTGTTATTTTGGTCATACATTTTTTTTTCTCTTACCTGTCGATTGCCCTACTCTCTTCAACCAGTTTAACTTCTCCCTCTTGTTAACTTTCTTTGTCCATCAAAGCCCATGTTCACCAATTAATTCAAAGGTCTCCCCAGAGAATTGCTTTTTTTTCCATTCTTGAATTGAAGTATGGTATAGTAGAACTCCCAATCAAATGAGAGTTGAGTTATAAATGGATAGATTTCATCTTAGGCAAGATGTTTAACCTATATGCCTCAGTTTCTTCCATTATAAAGAGCTGAAACTAAATCTCCATATACCTTTGTAGCTCTAAAATCCTATGATTCTGTGGTATCTTAACTTTCCCATTTTTTTCTACTGTGCTGACCTTATTTGTTTAATAAATATTTACACACCTACCGTATGTTTTTAACTGCTATAATTTTTGTGATGGAATAAAAAGAAACAAAAGACAGAGTTCCTGCCTTTCAACTGTTTATAGTCAGTCTGGAGAGACGAGAGGTATCTGTATGTTAACACTCAGTTATTTCCAGTTCATTCTTGTTCAGTCCAGACCAGATCCATATTCTCAAAGGAAAACCAGCTAGCTACTCTAGTTCCAACCTAATTTATCCATAAGGGACAGGGTTGCCCCTGAACACAGTAAAAAAAAACTCCTTTTTATGTTCTTATACATCTAGTAATCCCCATTGTAGTTGTTCTGTAGCATTTTATGTTCACTTGATCCAGTCTAGAATTTAACCATAATAAAAAATTTTATCCCAGAACTAAGGAGATTGATTTTCATTGTGATTTAGTAGATGATCACTCTTTGTCCTTCTTATCTTTTGTATAATCATGTTCAAATATAATGTTCCAGATGGCTGAGTAAATATGACTAACAAGTCGTTCCATACCACATATGCTTATACTTTTTTTCTTAGGTTTGTTTCTGTACCTATTTTGTAAGGGGGTATTGCTTTTGGAGACATCTTTTCCTTTTGTAGGCTGTATGTGTTCTCTAGTTAAAAAATACACACACACACACACATACACACCACCCCACAGGGATTAGGGACAGTGTTGGGGGAGGGGACAGGACTTATAAAATGTCACCATTAAAGATCCTTGTGATGTAACTGTTTTGTATCTCCACTTTGGTGATGAATACATGAAGCTGCTCATGTGATAAAACTGCATAGAACTAAATACGCAAACACACAAATGAATACAAGAAAAATTGGCGAAATCAAAATAAGATAGGTAAATTGCATCAATATAGTATCCCACTGTGATATAGTGCTACAGTTTTGTGAGATGGATAAAAGGTATACCAGATCTCTGTTATTCTTTTCAATGGAATGTGAATCTACAATTATCTTTAAAAAAAAAAAAAGGTTTAATTAAAAATAATAGCTATTTAAAGGGAGTCTTTCTGAAAGGTAATTAAACATATTTAGCTACAGGAAGTACATTGACATATATATATATATAAAATGCAGTATTATTCGGCTAACAAAAAAGAATGAAATCTTGCCATTTGCAACAACAGTGGACGGATCTTGAGGACAGTATGCTAAGTGAATAAGTCCAACAGAGAAAGACGAAAACTGTATGATTTCAGTTATGTGGAATGCAAAAAAAAAAAAAGCTTATAGATGCAGAAAACAGATTGGTGTTTGCCAGAAGTAAGGGCTGAAGTGTGGGGGAAAATGAGTGAAGGGAATGAGTCAGAGGTACAGACTTCCAGTTATGAAATAAATAAGTCATGAGGACTATAGTTGATAATAATGTATTGCATAAATGAACGTTGCTAAGAGAATAGATCTTAAAAGTTCTCATCACAAGAAACATTTTTTAAAAAAATTTGTAACTATAGTGATAAATGTTAACTATACTTATTGTGGTGATCATTTATACTCCTGAAACTAATATATGTTTAAAAAGCAATTTAAAGGAGTCTGTGGTGAAAGATAATTTAACATATGTAGCTCTAGGAAGTACATTGATATATTATTGTCCATTTACATCAAAGGATGGCCCTGGCTGGTTTGGCTCGGCAGTTAGAGCATCGGCCCCATGGACCAGAAAGTCCCGGGTTTGGTGTCCGCTAAGGGCACGTACCTCAGTTGCAGTTTGTCCCTGGCCCCAGTTGGAGTCGTGTGGGTGGCAACCACTTGATGTGTCTCTCTCACATCTATGTTTCTCTCTCCCTCTTTCCTCCCTCCCTCCCACTCTATCTGAAGATAAATGCAAAATGTCCTTGGGTGAGGATTAAAAAATAAAATAAAAAATAAAAAATCATACATCAAAGTATGATCTATTAAATTGGTTTAACCAGTTTTTTGTTTTTTGTTTTTCCATCATCCTCACCCGAGGACATTTTTCCATTTTTTGTTCAGGTAGAGTGGGAGGGAGAGAGAGGAACAGAGAGAGAGAGAAACATCGACGTGAAAGGGACACATCGAGTGGTCGCCACCCGCACAACCAACCAGGGCTGGGGACAAACCGCAACCGAGGCACATGCCCTTAGCGGGAACCAAACCCTGGTCTCTCCGGACCGCAGGCCCCAGGCCGATGCTCCAACCGCTGAGCCAAACCAGCCAGGGCAGTTTTACCAGTTTTTTTATTCCAAGTTTTTTTTAGGCATGTGTGGAAAGGAGAACAATAGTTGTGATGTGTTGTCTTAATTAGCAGAACTTTGCAAACACTTAAATGATGCCAGTTTTGTATGTCTTATTTTCTGTGTAATAGAAAATCTGTTTCTTCTAATAATGGGTCCTTTTTTATACAATTCATGGAATCAAAGTAGAGGTTTTGGAAGCTTAGGCTGTCAGAGATGAAATATTCGATATTGTAAGTGCCACTGTAAATTAATTTAAAATTATAAACATTGAAGAAAATATTATTTGTTTTTTTGAGTAATAAAGATTAAATTTAGTGGATCATAGAGTTACAGTCAAAAAATGTTCTTACTCTATTAAGAAACTCCAGTAGCGCCCTGGCCAGTTTGGCTCAGCGGTTAGAGCGTCGGCCCACAGACTGGAGAGTCCCGGGTTTGGTTCCTGCTAAGAGCACGTACCTCTGTTGCAGTTTGTCCTCGGACCAGTTGGGGTCGTGTGGGTGGCAACCACTCAATGTGTCTCTCTTGCATCGATGTTTCTCTCTCTCTCTTCCTCCGTCTCTCCCTTCCGCTCTATCTGAACATAAATGCAAAAATGTCCTCGGATGAGGATTAAAAAAAAAAAACTCCAGTAGCAGAAAATGTATTTGGAATTTATTATAGTATATTCATAATTCATAACTGCATCTAAATAAGCCTGATAGTCTACCAATAAACCAGGAGCTGTAATTTTAAAACCTTAGAAGTATTTTTATATACATAGATTATTTCAACTGGAAAATTTTTGTGATAATATCATGTTGAATTTAAGAAATGTTTCAGCAGGTTACTAAAGTATATACCACTCCATATTTCCTGACTGAAATTTTTCAGTAAGTCTGAGATAGAGTGGTGTCCTAATTTTATTTTTATTTATTTATTTGTTTGATTGTTTGTTTATTTATTTATTTTTATCCTCACCCGAGGACATTTTTGCATTTATCTTCAGATAAAGCAGGAGGGAGAGAGGGAGGAAGAGAGAAAGAGAAACATCGATGTGAGAGAGACACATCGACTGGTTGCCACCCACACAACCCTAACCGGGGTCAGGGACAAACTGCAACCCAGGTACGTGCCCTTAGTGGGAACCGAACCTGGGACTCTTTGGTCCGCGGGCTGACGCCCTAACCGCTGAGCCAAACCGGCCAGGGCTCTAGTTTTAAAACATATCCATTCTGACAAGTTTTAGCAGTACAAAATGTAACAAGATTGTATTTAACCTTATTTCTCATTCGTTCTTTTCACCCTCCATTCCACTCCAAGACACTTTATCAAATCTTGACTCGAATAATTTTGTTCCTTTCAACCCTTCTCTCCTACTTTTCACAGACAAACACATATCAAGGACCAACCAGGTTAGGTAATTCTGGTATCTGTTGCTGCTGCTTTTTCCTTGTCATTAGCAGATAGTCTGTATTGGTTAAAGCTGTGGTTTTGTCGTCTTGATGTGCTTGTGATTACTGCCTTTCATCTTGTTTTCTTGCAAAAACTTTGACACTTATTAAAATTCCTGCCTGTGTATGTCTTCAACATTATACAGTTAACCCACAGTGATTTGGTACAATATAGTTGGACTGGTTACACTCCAAGATTTTGTCAGTGGCATCATCTTTCCATTTGGTATTTAAAATTATAACACCCAGTGGTGTGGCTCACATGGTTGAGCATCATCCCATGCACCAGGCGGTCACTGGTTCAGCACATGCCCAGGTTGTGGTATTGATCCCCAGGAGGCAGGCAATCAATGTTTCTCTCTCATCCATGTTTCTATTTATCTCTCCTTCTCTCTTCCTCTCTCTCTGAAATCAATAAAAATATATTAAAAATAAATGAAATTACTCATAAATACAACTTACTAAATTACTTAACTTTAAGAAAATAGCCCTGGCCGGTTTGGCTCAGCAGTTAGAGCGTCGGCCTGCGGTACAGAGAGACCCGGGTTCGGTTCCCGCTAAGGGCATGTACCTCGGTTGCAGTTTGTCCCTGGCCCTGGTTGGTCGTGAGGGTGGCAGCCACTCGATGTGTCCCTTCACATCGATGTTTCTCTCTCTGTCTCTTCCTCTCTCTCCCTCCCGCTCTATCTGAACAAAAAATGGAAAAATGTCCTCGGGTGAGGATTAAAAAAAAAAAAAAAAAGAAAATATGATAATGGCACATTGAATCCCATAACATAGCATTGCTTATTATCTTAGATAGAAGATAATGTCCTTCATGAGATCTCAACCATATTAAGGTTTTGATATACAGTGATACCTCGGTTCTCGAACGCCTCGGTTTTCGACCAAATCAGGATTCGAGAAACTTTTGTCTCGGAATCCGAACAAATATTTGGAACTCGAACTTCCGAGTTGAGCCGAATGGCGTTCATTCGGCCCAGCGCGCCTTGCTGGCGTCATCAGTGTGAGTGCAGAGAGAGAGTCACGCTTTGTGGAGTCCGCTTTCCTATTGGGTTTCATTGCTTCGGTTCTCGAACAATTCGGTTCTCGACCGTCCTCCTGGAACGAATTATGTTCGAGAACCGAGGTATCACTGTATCTGATTCAACTTCAGTATAATATTTAAAGAATTTATAATTAAGAGGAAATATTTTTGGGTAATGAATGACTTGTTTAAAACTTCTTATGTATGTGGAAGTTACTTGAGTTTATATTTAAATTATCTTAAATGTGTATATTTTTCCTGTAGGAATGAGATAGTACATATAATGCCCCAGAAATGGTATGTTTTTCTTTCTCACACTCATTGCTTCTGTATATTTACTCATTTGTATCATTTTTTTTTTTATCCTCACCTGAGGACATTTTTTCATTTTTTGTTCAGATAGAGTGGGAGGCAGAGAGGGGAAGAGAGAGAGAGAGAGAGAAACATCGATGTGAAAGGGACACATCGAGTGGTTGCTACCCACACAACCTAACCAAGGACAAACTGCAACCGAGGTACGTGCCCTTAGCGGGAACTGAACCCAGGTCTCTCTGGACCATAGACCGATGATCTAACCGCTGAGCCAAATGGCCAGGGCCATTTGTATCATTTTTTATTTTCTATTTTTCTCCCCATTATCTGCTGTGTATGTGTGTGTGTCTATTCTTTGTTTTTATCCTCACCCGAGGACATTTTTTTGCATTTTTATCTTCAGATAGAGTGGGAAGGAAAGAGGGAGGAAGAGAGAGAGAAACATCGATGTGAGAGAGACACATCGAGTGCATCAAGTGGCTGCCACCTACACAACCCCAACCGGGGCCAGGGACAAACTACAACTGAGGTATGTGCCCTTAGCCTGAACCGAACCCGGGACTCTCCAGTCCACAGGCTGATGCTCTAACCCCTGAGCCAAACCAGCCAGGGCTGTGTGTCTATTCTTGACTGAAATGTGTTTTTGGAAGGGCTGCTGTTTGAAAATTACTTATTGGCTCTTAATCATATGAAAACTATATACGTAAGAGTTTTGTTTGAAAATTATCATTGTTAACCCAACTTTAAGATGTATTGGCTCTTAATTATATGAAAACTATATTTGTAAGAGTTTTGTTTGAAAATTATCATTGTTAACAGAACTTTAAGATGTCGTAGGGGGAAATATTTGGGATTGATTTAAGCTCAATTATTGTTCTTTTTAATACAGTATTTCTCAGACTCTGAGGCTTGCAGAATTCACAAATTGAGATCTGGCATCATTTTCAGAGAAAGACCTTCAGTAATGTGTAAGTAGCTTTTGTTTTTCATTTTGATTTATTTTATTGGCTATTTTCTGTATTAAACACTGAAAGTTTAATTTACCAAATTTCTTAACCAGAATTTGGCATATGTTTGCCACATAATGATTCTGAGTAACAAGTGACACAAAATAACTTTTTGGAAGATGTCTTAAGATGTGCTCTTGATCAGTATTTTTTTTTTTTTAATTTTCTTTATTGATTTTAGAGAGAAGGGAAGGGACAAGAAGAGAGAGATAGAAACATCGATGAGAGAGAACATCAATTGGCTGCCTCCTGCATGTCCCTACTGGGGATTTAGCCCACAACCTGGGCATGTGCCCAGAACAGGAATTGAACTGGCGACCTCTTGGTGCATGGGTCAGCGCTCAACCACGAGCCACACCAACCAGGTTCTTGATCAGTATTAATGACCATTTATTAGAAGTAGCATCCTCAAATGTAAAGAACACTGGATTAAGGGACTTGAGTTCTTGCACAGGCTGCCACTTACTAGCTAGGTATCCTTAAGTAAGCCACCTTTTGTGGCTATGAAATTAGAGTTTAAACTATGACTAATAATAATATGCCTTCCCCTCTAAATGTCTGTTATTCCTATTTTAATTTTTTTTTAATAAATCAGGGGTTGCCAATCTTTCATAAGGGTGCTGTCAAATTACAGTTATGTTTTGATTTTTTGTTGTTGGTTTTTGCTTGGGAATTAATATGGAGAGAGGGGAGGTGCTTCCAAAGTAGACTAGGAGACAAGTAAGCTTCCCTTGCTCAAAAAGTTTGCTCCATATAGTCCATCAATTTGGGTTAATAAAATTTTTAAAAAGTCAGGTTTGCCTTGCATGGGTTTAACCTTTTGAAAAGAAAGTTAACTCTTAAATATAATATACAAGTTAGATTTCTTTCCTTTCAAAATTTCCAGAGAATGCTGATGGTGAAGGAGTGCTAGTTTTCAAGGAGATGGGGGAAATTGACAATAAAATAAGGATTACTATGTTTGTTCTTACAGGGCTTTCGGGAGAAAATGGTAGAGAAACTATGGGCACAGTGAAGGCACATACTTGGAGTCTGGAAGGGGGATAGGAGAAAAAATAATTAGAGGTGGAATAAAAGTATAGAAAGAGATATGGAAAAGTAGAGCTAAATAAAATGCTTTGAAGACAGAGGCTATTGCTTTCATTAGTATTGTCACTGGCTCCGAGAACAGTGTTAGATTTAGCAAGTATGTATGAAAAGTTTATTGAATAAGTGAATTGCCTTTTGAATAAATTTTTAAAAATATGTTCTTACTGATTTTTTAAAAATTTTTTTAGAGAGGAAGGGAGAGAGAGAGAGAAACATTGATATGAGAGCAAAGCATCGATTGGCTGCCTCCTGCATGCTCCCTACTGGGGATCAAGTCCAAAACCCAAGCATGTGCCCTGACTGGGAATTGAACCAGGACCTTTCAGACCATGGGACAGCACTCAATCCACTGAGCCACACCAGCAGGGCTTAAATTTCTAATTTTGCCTAAGGTCCTGATGGTTTTGGTTTTTGGTTACTTGACTCAGATTGTCTAGTTTATCTGTGTCTATCCTACATTTAACAACAACTACAGTATTTAAGGTAATTGAAGTATAGAACATTGCTTCTGAGTTATAGAAAAAAGACATTATGTTAGTATAATATGCTTGAGAAAGATTATAAAGTGAATTGTTCATTAATTTTTAAGCACCTGTCTATCATACTTTGGGACTAGCTGGAATGGAAAAATGGGATACTGGTTTTAGTGTATGCTATTTCTATTTGATGGAATATTATGTAGTCAGTATAATTATAAATATTATATCAGTTTAGAAAAATGCTTATTAAATGAATAGAATATATAAATATTTGTATTTTATATTATAAATGTGAATGAGGATAAGAAAGATGTTTTCTGTTCTCAAGGGGAACATTGTCAAATATAAACCATATTTATTAGTGTGTAGGGGATGATTGAATTTTTTCTGCTCTTTTGTATAATTTATAAAGTTTAAATGAAAATCCACATAAGTTTAAATTTTTTGAAAAATATGATGAACATATATTAACAAGAAAGAGGGAATACTGAGTATATTGCCAAAGAGGAAAAGAGCAAAACTACCTTTGAAGGATAGTAGATAGATTGATTACCTTGGTTGGAAGAAACACGAGAGATGAAGTTTTAAAAGTTGAGATTGGGGGTTCTCTAGTTTAATTTTGATACTGGAAGAAAAGGTGAGCTGAAGTAGATTCTTACCTGTGGAATTATCTTTTAAAAAAAGAAAATTTCTTCTAGCGTAAGTGAACTAGAGTGAGGAGCAGTTGAATTGGTCCATCGAGTTATAGACAGACCATTTTTATATGGTCTTGAATTTGTGACTGTTTATCAGGTCTCTCTCAAAAACTTTTGCTCATTTTACCACTTCAGTAATAGTTTGGTAAAACTTTTATGTCCAGATTTTATGTTTTTTTATCTATCTTTAAAATTTTACCTTTGATGTCTACTCTTGCCTTTTTTTTGTCCTTAGGATTAGCCTAAGTAGCAGATGCTTAACTATTCTGATTTAATGGAACTATATAAAAAATAAAAAAGAATCTGAATTGATTGGGCAGAGACTGAAAGGGAGGAAAAACAAGTTTCCATTAGTTGCTGAATGGGTAAGAGCTTTCTTGTAATGATTTCTTTCTCTTTTTTTAATTATGTGATTCTTTTTATTTTTAATTTTTTTTTCTTTATTGGTATTAAAGAGAGAGAGGAAGGGAGAGGGAGAGAGACATAGAAACATTAAGAAAGAACATCAGTTAGCCACCTCCTGTGCGCCCCCAACTGGGGATCAAGCCCACAACCTACCTGGACATATGCCCTGAGGAGGAATCAGACCTGTGCCTTCTTGGTACATGAGTCAGTGCTCAACCACTGAGCCACACCAGCCAGGCTTCTTATGATTTCTTAGTTTAGTTCTCATGAACCTTTAAGGAATAGAGAGCACATCCTTCTTTGCTATTCCCGAAGAAAATAGATTTAATTTTAAATGAAAAACTAACTAAGCAGATATATGAAATTTTAAGAAGATGCCTATAAACATTTTTATGAGCTAATTCCTTATCTATATCATGTTGAACAAAGAATTAAAAACAATAATTGGTTAATAATGTAGTGTTATGTATTATTACTTCAGCTTGAGTAGTTGTTTCAAGGTTTTATATTACTGTGAATACTTAGAGAACTGTTGGATCAAATGTTTGTGTTGTGTGGCCCCCAGTTTCCAAAATGAACTTAAAGAAATTTACCTCCAAAAAAAAAAAAAAAATAGAAAGAAAGGAAATTAATCTTCTAATTGTCTAACAGTTTTTGCTCTCATGTACTAACTAAAAGTCCAACCAAGTTTTGTATGTGACTAGGAATACTTTTTTCAAATGCTCTTTCCAAGTAATTTCTGGTCACTTTTGCCAACACAGGCATTTTGTCTTTTGTTTTAATTCCTCACCTGAGGATATTTTTCTATTTATTATCAGATGGGGGGAGGGGCAGAGACAGAGAAAAACATTGATGTGATAGAGCCACATCGACTGGTTGCTTCCCACATGACCCAACCAGGGCCAGAGACAAACTGCGACCGAGGTATGTGCCCTTGACTGGAATGGAACCTGCAACTCATTGGTCCGTGGGCCGACACTCTAACCGCTGAGCCAAACCAGCCAGGGCCAGGCATTTTGTCTTAATATCTATTTAGTAGTTTCCATAAAGAGCATACATTTTACACACCAATGGAAGTCTCTTGGTTTAATAAAATTGTTAGGAAATAATATTAATTATTCATTTCTATATTAAATATTTTTAGAATTTTTTTTGCCTTGTAATTTTAAACAATGTCTTTCCCCTGTCTTCTAAATCTCAAATTTACTCTAAAAACAGTTGATTTAGTAGAGGTACATTTTCAGTATTACCAGCTTCCTGAATGAATAAAAAACATTTAGATCTTTTAAGAAGTCACCTGGAAATTCACCAGTAATATTCTTGGCATTATATACTTTGTCAACTATGCCTTAAAACATTTTGTCAACCTTTCTAACCACTCTCCGCTCCCAAATGAATAAATGGAAAATAATAATAACAACAACAAAGCAAGAGAGCTGGAGTGATATATAATTTATTTTCTGTTAATATAAGAGGATTTTATCACCACTTTAAAATTAATTGTTCTTACATGTCTTGGATAAGAACAATAACTTGTTTCTTTTTAGTAGTTATTTACTGTATTCAATTATAAATGAGAATAAGTTACTAAAATTTGTAAACCAGGAAGATCTAACAAAAATTTTTAATACAAATATTTCCCAAATATCTGCTTATTAGTATAATAGGTATTTTAACAGCTAAAATAATAGCTTTCAAAAGACATTATTAAACATGTCTATGCATTTTCATGATAGTACTACAGTAAACCCTCAATTTTGTGAACCTCAAATTAATGGATTTAAGATTTAATGGACAAAATTTCTGGTCCACATGTCATATGTGAAAATTAACGACGTTAATTTTAAAATGCTTTTGACCAAGATTTGCTTACAATTAAATTAACATGGGGGTTTTTTTGTTATTTTTAACAAATGTTAGTGAATAGGTCATTATGTTGGAAAAAGCACTGTAGTAATTTCGCCAACATATAAATAAATACTACATGTCTACAACTTTACATATTTAAATTCAAGAGTCATCATAAACAATGTTCAGGGAATGATTAGCACACAATTGTGAGGTAATTGGTTCTGTTGTCTTGTGTTGTGACTTTCTGCAGCAGTTTTCACAAGTGCTGGCCATTGTTCCCAAGTGCACTAAACCACACTCCAGCTGTGTGCATTTGTTTACTCTCGGCGCCTGGCGAATGCACACATTTACTAGGCCTATTCAGTATAAATTTAAAATTACAGTAATGCATACTTTTATGTGAAATTAAACTTTTCATACATACTTAATTTTAATTATACAAATGTGTCTCCATAAATAAAAACAGGTACACTAATTTTTTTTTTATCCTCACCCGAGGACATTTTTTCATTTTTGTTCAGATAGAGTGGGAGGGAGGGAGAGAGAGAGAGAGAGAGAGAGAGAGAGAAACATCAATGTGAAAGAGATACATTGAGTGGCCGCCACCCTCACAACCAACCAGGGCCGGGGACAAAGAGAGAGAGAGAGAGAGAGAAATATCAATGTGAAAGAGATACATTGAGTGGCCGCCACCCTCACAACCAACCAGGGCCAGAGACAAACCGCAACCAAGGTACATACATGCCTCTAGTGGGAACCAAACCCAGGTCTCTGGACCGCAGGCCAATGCTCTAACTGCTGAGCAAACCAGCCAGGGCTTTTACTATTTTAACATACACATTCAGAAAACCTATTTTACTATATAATGGTCTTCTGGTTTTAACGGACATCCCCTCACCTGAATTAGTCTGTTATATCAAGGTGTTAGTGTATTTCCATTTTTTTTTTCCCTTTTTCTGCATAGCAAGATATAAGACTATTATATGCAATAGTTACTATATCCTTTAGTGTAAATAACTTGATGATAGAGTCTAGGAAAAAGGAAAATATTTTAATCTCTTTGTTATGAAGAGAGAAAGGTGCTCTAACAAGATAATTTTTAAGAATAATATTAATCAGCCCTGGCCTGTTTGGCTCAGTGGTTATAGCGTCAGCCAGCGGACCAATGAGTCGTGGGTTTGATTCTAGTCAAGGGCACATACCTCAGTTGTGGTTCGTCCCTGGCCCTGATTGGGGTCGTGCGGGAGGTAACCAGTCGATGTTTCCCTCTCACGTCGATGTTTCTCTGTCCCTCTCCTTCCCTCCTACTTTGTCTAACAAAAATGGGAAAATATCCTCAGGTGAGGATTAAAAAAAAAAAAGAATAGTATTTATCAGAAGGTTATAATTTAAAATTTATGGACAGATAATATCATATTATAGAGGCTGGTTATGTAACTTTTGACCTAGCAATTCAACTTTAATAAATTTACCTGAAGAAATAAGAGTTGTAGCCAGAGGTTTATATTCAAGGTTATTTATCATAGCATTTAAAAAATAGTAGCAAAGTAAGTAGAAGTAAAAATGATCAACAATAAGGAAATCAATCAATAACGTTATGTTCATAAAATAAAATACTATGCAGCCATTAAAAATTACTTCAGCCCTGGCTGGTTTGGCTCCATGGTTAAAGTTGTAAAGTGGTTTGGTTCCTGCTAGGGGCGCGTACCTCAGTTGCGGTTTGTCCCCTGCCCTGGTTGGTCGTGACCCAGGACCGAAGAGACTTAGGTTTGATTCTCTGCCCTGAAGGCAACCAATTAACGTGTCTATGTCACAATGATGTTTTTCTCTCTTTCTCCCGTCCCCCTTAATACTCTATCTAAAAATCAATGGAAAAATATCCTCAGGTGACGATTTTTTTTAATAAGCAAGAGAGTATTTTTTTTTCTTTATTGATTTTAGAGAGAGAGGAAGGAAGAGAGAGAGAGAGAGAGAGAGAGAGAGAGAGAGAGAGAGAAACATCGATGAGAGAGAACATCGATTGGCCGCCTCCTGCATGTGCCCTGACTAGGAATCGAACTGGCAACCTCTTGATGCATGGGTTGATGCTCAACCACTGAGCCACACTGGCCAGGATCAGGTGAGGATTTTTAAAAAATAATTATTTCAAAGACTAATGAAATGAAGAAAAAAGTTAAATGCAAAAGTACTTTAGTTTTACTTTCTGAGAATGAATACATGGTTAACTGGGTAACACTGGTTGTTTTTTGATGATCACCTGTTATATGCAGTCAGCTGAGAGTGACTTTTCAAAGTTTAACAGAATCTTCTTAGAAGAATAGATTTTTCCTTTCTGTTTACTGTCAGTCTTGAAGGCATTCCTGAAAAGTATAAGCCCATTGTCTTGTGCAAAAATCTTATGTGTAAGGGAATGCTATATAGGAGCCATATGTATCTAAATAAAACAAGGCAGAATGTTTGATTCTTCTTTAGTCTTGTTTCCTAAATGAGTAGGGGTACAGATTCCAAGAAGTGTGGCATAAATTCTGATAACTCATGACATTAGAAATATAGAAAATTAAATGAGTTTGGGGATTATGACAAATATGGTGATATTTATATGATAATCAAGTATACTACATAAGAATTTCTTTGCCCTCAAGTATTTTATAGTCTATACAAGAAGGTTGTTTACTTTAAACTAGCATTTTCTAAAGCATGTTATTAGGACTTTTTCTAGTTCATAAGTGGGAAAATAGGGTTCATTGTTTAAATAGACAGGGCATCCTGGGTTAAACAAAGTTAATCAAGTACCTTTATCAAACAGCTGCTGAGGCTTTAATATTTTAACATAAGTATACAAAAGAGGCATATAGTATATATACCTAATTTGTCCACAGAATCCTTTCTTTGCAGTTATTGGAACTAAGTCTAACATGAGACGTATATTGGGACATATTTGTTGTAAATTAAACTTATTTTTCTTCTCATAACTTATGTAAGTAATGACAGCACTGTGGGGTTGTAATCTAGTTAAAGAAACAAATAAGGATTAAGTGATACTAGACAACTGAAGGAAATTTTGCTGTTAAAGTGTTTGCAAGTATATGATGGATTCTACTTTGTGTATTTTTTCTCTGAATTTGTTGTAAGCATGCATTCCTGTTTTAATCTCTGCCTTACTTTTATTATTTGAAGTTCTGTTTGTTGTATCTGCTGAGACTCATTCAGAGTGGATTTTTCTTTGTATGTTTTTGTGGTTTTGAAATAGAAGGTCATGTTCAGTTGGGCTTTATCTGTGGAAAACCTGGGTTGAGGGTGTACCCTCTAAAACTATTTTGCATTTGCTTCCCCAGAGGTATTACTAGCCTGGGAACACAGTTATTATTGATATTTCAGTTTGGATTTTCCTGGGACCATGGCTTAAGGTCAAATCTCAAATCCAAGTGTGAGTAGGCCTATTGTTATACATTCACAGAGATTTTTTACCCTCTAAAGCAGGGCCCAAATTGAGGCAAACTTTATTATATAATCCCTATACCAGTAGATGGATTTTAAAAATTCACTCTTGAACTGAGGATATAGTCCTTTGAGGCTCTTGTCTCAGTTTCCTATCTTATGTGATCTCAGGGTTTTGTCTCCTGTTTCTGTGATATCTTTTTTTTTTTTTTTTTTTTATCCTCACCCAAGGACATTTTTCCATTTTTTGTTCAGGTAGAGTGGGAGGGAGAGAGAGGAACAGAGAGAGAGAGAGAGAAACATCGACGTGAAAGGAACACATCGAGTGGCTGCCACCGGCACAACCGACCAGGGCTGGGGACAAACCAACCGAGGTACGCGCCCTTAGCGGGAACCGAACCCGGGTCTCTCAGGACCGCAGGCCGACGCTCTAACCGCTGAGCCAAACCGGCCAGGGCTCTTTTAAAACACAAACCCCATGATTACTGAGGTGGTCAGCAAACTTCCCCTACTTGATATCAGCTTATATTACTGCATTCTGGCCTTTGGTTTGCTTACTGTTTTTGGACCCTGGGAATTTCCCTTACATTTTTACATGTTAATCTATGCATTTAAAAGGATATAGGGGTTTTATTTTCTGTCTATTTAGGTAATCTAGGCATCCATATTGCCCAAAATGGAAATTCTTACATTACTTTTATAGTCATAAATAATACTAACTTTATTTTCACTTTTTTATTTTCAAAGATTTTTTTCTAATTCATATATTCTCATTTTTTTAAAAAGACATACTTTTTATGTATGAAAGTGAAATGTATACGAGTGTATTTATCAAGGAGGTAGTACTGTTTTTGCAGTTTTTTATTTTTATTTGCACTTAAACCACTTATATTTATTTGGCTTACTATAGGAAAATACTAGTCTTCTACTTTCCTTTTAGATATAACCTTCTGTAATGGAAGATGATTGAAGATAAGGGGCCTCGTGTTGCTGACTACTTCGTTGTAGCAGGATTAACCGATGTTTCAAAGCCTTTTGAAGAAGAAATTCACTTCAATGATGCCTGTCATAAAGTTGCTAAACCAAAAGAACCTATCACAGATGTTTCAGTTATTATTAAATCTCTTGGTGAGGAAGTGCCACGGGATTACATGTGTATTGATGTTACTCCATCTGGATTGTCAGCTGACCTCAGTAATGGAAGTCTTGTAGGACCACAGATTTACCTTTGCTATAGAAGAGGAAGAGATAAGCCTCCACTTACAGATCTGGGGTAAGTCATTTTTTTTCCTCTTTTAAAAAAATATATATACTTATTGCTTTTTAGAGAGAGAGAGGAAGGGAGAGGGGGAGAGAGATAGAAACATTGATTGGCTGCCTCTGCACAGCTCCTACGAGGGATGGATCCTGCAACCCAGGTGTGTGTGTGCCCCAGCCAGGAATCAAACCAGCGACCTATTGGTGCATGGGTCAGTGCTCAACCAGTGAGCCACACTGGCTGGGATGGGGTAAGTCTTTTTGAAAACATAATTATTGCTGACCTGGCTGGGTGATGCATTTAGGTTAGAGTGTCGTCCTGTGCACCAAAAAATGGTTTTGAGTTTGATTCTCGGTCAGGGCACATACCTAGGTTGTGTGTTTGATCTTCAGTTGGGGTGTGAACAGAAGGCAACTGATTGATATTTGTTTCACACATTGATGTTTCTCTCTCTTTCTCTCATTTCCTCTCTCTCTAAAAATTCATTGAAAACATAATCCTTAGATGAGTATTAAAAATAATAATAATTAGCCCTGGCCGGTTTGGCTCAGCAGTTGGAGTGTTGGCCTGCAGACCAGAGAGTCCTGGGTTCGGTTCCTGCTAGGGGCACGTACCAAAATAATAATAATTAGTATTATTGTTATAGATCCAAATAATATGCCTTATAGATTTTAAAGTTAACTGTTTAAATTTTTCATTAATAGTTATATGGCAGTTTTAGAAAAATAGATATGTATATATCCAGAAGCCTGTATTCTATCACTGTGTTCATTACACCTTTTCAGTGTCCCTTTGTCCTACAAGGTTCCCAGCACTTTCATCTTGTTTGAGTTTCTTTCTTTTAAAGGAAGGGGACAGAATTTGAAAAACGTTTACAGAAAAGTACCAGAAAATTAATGTATTATCCTGATCATAAAATTTTAAATTATTTTTAAAGTACTAGAAAAGGATGGTTTTTAAGCATCCACTATAATGATCATTATAAATGGATAAAAGTCTGTATGCATCAAACAAGGATCTTGAGGTAAATGAGTGCTTTCCTTAGGATACTGTATGAATGTGGGGTTCCTTTTTCATATAACAGCTTTATTGAGATATAATTTATATACTGTACAATTCACCCATTTAATGTGTACAAGTCAGTAGTTTAGTATATTTATCGAGTTATACAACCATCACCACAGTTAATTTTAGAATGTTTTTATCATGACAAAAATAAATCCTGTACTTACTATCCAATTCTCCCTAACCCCCTCAGCTCTAGGCAATCAGTAGTCTACTTTCTGTCTCTGTAGATTTACCTATTCTGGACATTTTATATAAATGGAATTGCGTGTGTGTGCGCGCGCGCGTGTGTGTGTGTGGTGTGTGTCTGCCTGCTTTTCCTTAACATAATGTTTTCAAGGTTTATCCATGTTGTAGTATGTGTCAATACTTGATTCCTTTATATAACTGAATAATATTCCATCTTGTGGATGCACCACAATTAATTTATTCTTTCATCAGTTGATTGTGGGTTGTTTCCACTTTTTGGCTATTATAAACAATGCTGCTGGAAATATTCACGTACCAGTTTTTGTATGGACACATGTCTTCATTTCTCTTGTGTATTTACTCAGAAGTGGAATTGCTGGGTCCTATGGCAACTGTGTGTTTAACCTTTTGAGAAACTGCCAGACTGTTTTCCAAAGCAGTTGTATCACTTTGCATTTTCACCTGGCACTGTATGAAGATTCCAATTTCTCCACATCTAAGCCAGTATTTTGTTGGCATTTTGATTATACTTGTCCTAATGGATGTGAAGTGGCATCTCATTGTGGTCTTGATTTGCATTCACCTGATGGGTGATCATGCTGATCATCTTTCGTGTGCTTATTGGCCATGTGTATATCATTAGAGAAATGTCTTCAGAGTCTTCTTCCTGTTTTAAATTGGGTTATCTTTTTACTGTTGAGAATTCTTTACATATTCTAGATGCAATTCCTTACCAGTTACCTGATTTACAAATATTTCTTCCCATTCTGTGGGCTGTCTTTTCAGTTTCTTTCTGGTATCTTTTGAAGCTGAAAAGTTTTTAATTTTGATGAGGTCTGATTTGATTATGTTTTCTTTTGTTGCTTATGTTTTAGTGTCATATCTAAGAAGGCTTTTATGAATCTAAGGTCATGAAGATTTACATCTAAGTTTTTGTCTAAGAGTTTTACAGGTTCAGCCTTTATATTTAGGTCTTTGATCCATTTTGAATTAATTTTTTTATATGGTTGAGAAAGGGATCCAATCTTACTGTTTTGCATGTGGCTATTCATTTGTCCCAGCACCATCTGCTGAAGAGAATATTCTCCTATTTTCAAAAATTAATCGCCCTGGCCAGTTTGGCTCAGCGGTTAGAGCGTCGGCCTGCGGTCCGGAGAGACCCGGGTTCGGTTCCCGCCAAGGGCACGTACTTCGGTTGCAGTTTGTCCCCGGCCCTGGTTGGTCGTGCGGGTGGCAGCCACTCGATGTGTCCCTTCACGTCGATGTTTCTCTCTCTCTCTCTCTCTCTTCCTCTCTCTCCCTCCCACTCTATCTGTACAAAAAAAAAAAATGGAAAAAAAAAAAAATTAATCGACCATAGATGTATGGGTTTATTTCTGACTCTCAGTTCTATTTCATTTATCTACATGTCTGTCCTTAGGCCAGTACTACACAGTTTTTATTACTATGCTTTGTAGTAAGTGTTTACATTGGAGTGTAAGTATTCCAACTTTGTTCTTCTTTTTCAAGATTGTTTTGGCATCCTGGCTGAGTTACTCAGTGGTTAGAGCGCCAGCCCACGGGTTTCATTCCCGGTTGAGGGCACGTACCTGGGTTGCAGGTGTGATCCCAGATGGGAGGCAGCCAGTCAATGTTTTTTTAAAAAAAGATTGTTTTGGCTATTCTGGGTCTTTTGAATTTTCATAGGACTTTTAAGATCAGCATGTCAGTTTCTGCAAAACTGGGATTCATTTTAAAAGAATGTATGCATATTTTACATATATGTAAAAGAGGGTTATATAAATGTGAAGATATATAATTTTTTTAGTAAAAGAGGAATAAAATTTAAAAGGTAGAAAAATAAGATTCCCACAAGAAAACTGAAAGAGAAAGATCAACAGAAGGCCAGTAGTAGCTCTAAGAATGTCTTCAAAATAGATGAAGCATTTATAAGGAATGAAGATCAGCCTTCTCATTTTCATTGCTATGTTACAAAGAGGGATGGGCTCTTCACTTACAATATTTTGGTTAGAAATAAGGAATTTGTTGACATCCCTACTGATGTCACCAGAAGGGCTATAAAAGTTCCATCTCTTAATATATTAAGTCTGAAAGAGGATATGTAGTCATGTTTACTAACACCCAAGGGAAGATAGAGCTCCTGAATTTTCTTCTACTTTAAAATTCTATCATGTAATGGATGACATAAAAAAGTTACATTAAAAATCAGTCTTTAGTTTGTTAATGCATGAATTAATTGCAATAATTTAAAATTGGTTGCAGAGTAACTACTATATTGCTTCATATGACATTTACATATTTAGTAAATAAATGGCTTGGGAAAGTAAGCCAGCTGTTAGATCTTGTTTTCAAAAGATTAGGGAAGTTGCTCCTGTGACTACTGACTATCATCAGAATTTTAGCTTGTGGATAAAATGGAAGCAGCATTGCAGATTCTCATTTGAGTGTTGGAGTTCCCTAGAGTAGAGATGAGGAATTTTCCAAGCATAGAAAGGACTCTTCAGTAGAAAGGGACTTGAACTGACATGAATAAATTAACTACTCTTATAGCTACCCTATATGTTTGTCGTTATGAAAACTATGATATCATTCTTGCTTTAAAATCTTCCAGATTATTTATTTATTTATTTATTTTAATTACAGTTTACATTCAGTATTATTTTGTATTGGTTTCAGGTGTCAGCATAGTGGTCACACAGTCATATACCTTACAAAGTGTTCCCCTGATATTTCCAGCATTCACGTGGCACCATGCATAGTTATTACAGTGTTGACCATATTTCCTATGCTGTGCTTTACACCCCCATTACTATTTTTATTTTTTTCAATCCTGACCCAAGGACATTTTTCATTTATCTTCAAATAGAATGAGAGGGAGGGAAAGAGAGACAGAGAGAGTGAGAAACATCGATATGAAAGGGACACATCAACTGGTTGCCTCCTTCACAACCCTAACTGGGGCCAGGGACAAACCACAACTGAGGTACATGCCCTTGACTGAAATCGAACCTGTGACTCATTGATCCACAGGCTGATGCTATAACCACTGAGCAAAACTGACCAGTGCCCCATGAATATTTTATAACTGCCAATTTGTACCTCTCAATCCCTTGACCTTTTTAACCAAGTCCCTCAACCCTCCTTCCCTCTGGCAACCATTAGTCTGTTCTTTGTATCTGTAGGTCAGTTTCTAGTTTGTTTGTTTGTTTATGTTATTCTTTAGATTCCACATATAAGTGAAAACATGGTATTTTTTTTTTCTCTAACTGACTTATTTCAATTAGAAAAATACCCTCTAGGTCCATCCATGCTGTCGCAAATGATAAAATTTCATTCTTTTTTATGGCTGAATAATATTCCATTGTATATACTTACCATGGCTTTTTTATCCACTTGCCTATTGATGGACACTTGGTTGCTCCCAAATCTTGACAATTGCAAATAATACTGCAATGAACATAAAGATGCATGTTTTCTTTCAAATTAGTGTTTTGGGTTTCTTCGGACATACTCAGAAGTAGAATTGCTGGGTCATAAGGCAGTTCCATTTTTAATTTTTTGAGGAACTTTCATACTGTTTTCCATAGTGGCTCCACCAATCCTCATTCCCACCAACAGTGTAGAAGGGTTTCCATTTCTCCACATCCTTGACAACACTTGTTTGTTGATTTATTGATGGTATTTCATATGTCTATTGGTCATCTGTATGTCCTCTTTAGAGAAGTGTCTATTCAGGTTCTTTGCCCATTTTTATCCTCACCCAAGGACATTTTTCCACTTTTTGTTCAGACAGAGTAGGAGGGGGAGAGAGAGAGAAACAGCAACGTGAAAGGGACACATCGAGTGGCTGCCACCCGCATGACCAACCAGGGCTGGTGACAAACTGCAACCGAGGTATGTGCCCCTAGAGGGAACCAAACCGGGGTCTCTCTGGACTGTAGGCCGACACTCCAACTGCTGAGCCAAACCGGCCAGTCTTTGCCCATTTTTTAATTGGATTTTTTTTTTTTTTTTTTTGGTGTTAGTTGTATGAATTCTTTATAAATTTTGGATCTTAACCCCTTATCAGATGTATCATTGGCAAATACTTTCTTCCATTCAGTGGGTTGTCTTTTTATTTTGTTGATGGTTTTCTTTTGCTGTACAAAAACTATTTAGTTTGATGTGTTCCCATTTGTGTATTTTTTTCTTTTATTTCCCTTGCCATAGGAGATATATCAGAAAAAAATATTAATAAGAGAACTGTCCAATATTTTACTGCCTATGCTTTCTTCTAGGAGTTTTATGGTTTCATGTTTTACATTTAAGTCTTTAATACATTTTGGGTTTATTCTTGTACTGTATATGGTGTAAGAGGTGATCTAGTTTCTTTTTCTTTTTCTTTCTTTTTTTTTTTTTTTTTTGCTTGTATCTGTCCAATTTTCCCAACACTGTTTATTGAATAGACTGTTTTTATGCCATTGTGTGTTCTTATCTCCTTTGTCAAATATTAATTGACCATATAGGTATGAGTTTATTTCTGGGCTCTCTGTTCTCTTCCATTGATCTACATGTCTGTTTTTATGGCAGTACCATGCTGTTTTTGTCTGTTTGTTTGTTTGTTTTTTTATCCTCACCTGAGGACATTTTTCCACTTTTTTGTTCAGGTAGAGTGAGAGGAAGATAGAGAGAGAGAGAAACATCGACGTGAAAGGGACACATCGAGTGGCTGCCACCCACACGACCAACCAGGGCCGGGGACAAACTGCAACCGAGGTACATGCCCTTAGCGGGAACCGAACCCGGGTCTCTCCGGACCACAGGCCAATGCTCTAACCGCTGAGCCAAACCGGCCAGGGCTACCATGCTATTGTTTTTTTTTTTTCTTTTTTCAATCCTCACCCGAGGACATTTTTCCATTTTTTGTTCAGGTAGAGTGGGGGGGAGAGAGAGGAACAGAGAGAGAGAGAGAAACATGATGTGAAAGGAACACATCGAGTGGCTGCCACCCGCACAACCGACCAGGGCCGGGGACAAACTGCAACCGAGGTATGCGCCCTAGCGGGAACCGAACCCAGATCTCTCAGGACCGCAGGCCGACGCTCTAACCGCTGAGCCAAACCGGCCAGGGCACCATGCCGTTTTGATTACTCTAGCCGTGTAGTATAGTTTGATACCAGATAGGGTGTTACCTCCAATTCAGTACTTCTCAAGATTGTTGTGGCTATTTAGGATATTTTGTAGTTCCATATAAAATTTTAGAATATTTGTTCTAGTTCTGTGAAATACACCATTGGTATTTGATAGGAATTGCATTGAATCTATAAATTGCTTTGGATAGTGTGGATATTTTAATGATGTTAATTCTTCCTATCCATGAGCATGGTATATGCTTTCATTTATTTGTATCTTTTTCAGTTTCTTTTTTAGGTGTCTTATAATTTTCTGAATACTGGTCTTTTACCTCCTTGATTAAATTTATTCCTAGGTATTTTTTTAATGCAATTGTAAGTGGAAATTTTTTTTAGTTTCCCTTTCTGGTAATTCATTTATTGGTGTATAAAAATGCAACCACTCTGACTGGTGTTGCTCAGTGGTTAGAGTGTCGGCCTGTGGACCAGAGAGTCCCAGGTTAGGTTCCTACTTAGGACATGTACCTCGGTTGCAGTTTGCCCCCAGCCCTGGTTGGGGCTGTGTGGGTTGCAGCCACTCGATGTGTCTCTCTTACATAGGTGTTTCTCTCTCTCTCTCTTCCTCCCCTCTCTCCCTCTCGCTCTATCTGAAGATAAATGCAAAAAAACGTCCTCGGGTAAGGATAAAAATATTTTTAAGATGCAGCCAATTTTTAATATTTAGTTTGTATCCGTAAAAGCTTATAGTTTAGACAAGAAAAGTTATCTAACAATATAAAAATCAAAAATAGTAATGCAAAATATATACAACAGCACAATATCTGATAAGAAAATAAGTATCATATATATCATATACATTTAAATTCCATATCTTTAAGAATTTGAGGTAATAAATGGTGGATTTTTTTTCCTGTGTTGTATTTTTATTTTCTTGTTTTCAATTGAGCGTCTGTGTACCAGACACTATTATTGAGATCTTAAATATACTCTCATTTAATTTTCTCAAGATCCTATGAGTTAGAATTTTAAATTTTACAGCTGAGTAACTTAAGTCTTGGAGATTAAGTATAACTGCCTATGATAGTATAGCTGGTAACAAGTGGTAGGAATTTGAATTTAGATGTGTGTAATTGCTCTGTTACAATGCCTTTTTTAAAGATTTAAAACAATGAGAGAGCCCTGGCCGGTTTTGCTCAGCGGTTAGAGCATCGGCCTGCGGTCCGGAGAGACCCGGGTTCGGTTCCCGCTAAGGGCATGTACCTTGGTTGCAGTTTGTCCCCGGCCCTGGTTGGTCGTGCGGGTGGCAGCAACTCTATGTGTCCCTTTCACGTCGATGTTTCTCTCTCTCTTCCTCTCTCTCCCTCCCACTCTATCTGTGCAAAAAAAATGGAAAAATGTCCTCGGGTGAGGATAAAAAAAAAAAAGAGAGAGAGAAATAAAGCAAGATCAAATTGAGGAGGAGGAATAGTTAAGCCAACAATAGGATAAACACAGTTGCTCTGATTAAGCATCCAATTTAGCTCTAAATTTTCCAAATAAAATTTTGAGAAAATGTTTTTTCTTTGCTGACAGCTAGGACAAAAAGGGAAATTAAAACTTATATTAGAAAGAAATAATTTAACTAATTTCTGACACTAAATTTTCTTTCTGTAATGGGATTTTATAAAAGGGAATACTGACTGATGTTGGGGACATTGCCTGTTTTAACGGTTTCTATAGCAAAACACTTAATATGTAGTAGACCTTTAAAATTTTTTTTGACTGATTCCAAAGACTTAGCTTTAAAGTCTAATCAGTGAATTCTATGAAAGAATTAAACTATATTATTCAAACATGACATTTTCTTTGTGTCCCCAAGTACTTTAAGTAGAATGGATGCTGGCTTGTCCATTATGAAAAGCCTATATTTTACCATAATAAAGAAGAAGGAAAGCCCAGCTGGTGTGGCTCACTGGTTGAGAGGCGACCCATGCACCAAGAGGTCACTGGTTTGATTCCCTGTCAGGACACATGCCCAGGTTGTGGGCCAAATCCCCAGTGGGGGTCATACAGGAGGCGGCCAGTCAGTGTTCTCTCTCATCAATGTTTCTATCTCTCTCTCCTTCTTCCGTCCTTTCTCTCTAAAACAATAAAGAAAAAAAAATTTAAAGAAGGAAAAAAATTTGCCCTGGCCGGTTTGGCTCAGCGGTTAGAGCTTTGGCCTGCGGTCCTGAGAGACCCGGGTTCGGTTCCCGCTAAGGGCGCATACCTCGGTTGCAGTTTGTCCCTGGCCCTGGTTGGTTGTGCGGGTGGCAGCCACTCGATGTGTTCCTTTCACATCGATGTTTCTCTCTCTCTCTCTGTTCCTCTCTTTCCCTCCCACTCTACCTGAACAAAAAATGGAAAAATGTCCTCGGATGAGGATAAAAAAAATAAAATAAAATAAAAAGAAGGAAAAAAATTTGAGGTTATTTTCTATTTTGAAAGCCTAAAATTATCTCTTAAACCTGAGGGAAGTATTGGAAGTAAAAGTGTGCATACAGGTTTTACACCTTCTTGTTATAGAAGCCTTTTGAAAGATTTTAATTTTGGCCACAATACAAAGTTGCTTTTTTCAAGAAGATGCTTGGTTTTAGAGACATAAATATATAAATACATCCATTAAATGAAATGCTAAAACAAGCACCTTTACATCCTTTGATTTATGTCATACTTTGGTTTATGTCAACAAAACACATAGGTAATCTGAATTCTTCTTACATTATTTAAATTTTTGGTAGAGAAAACAGTTAACCTTTACTTTTGTATGAGACTATGCAATTCAAATTTGCAATAAGATTGGAATCTGGGCTGCATTTAAGGATCAGTTCATGAAATCTGATAATATTACCTTTTATATTTGAGAGTGCTTTGTGTTTGTGTATTTATTGATTTTATTTATTTTGTAGGGTTTTATATGACTGGAAGGAAAGATTGAAACAGGGGTGTGAAATTATTCAGAGTACTCCCTATGGACGCCCTGCAAATATTAGCGGCAGTACCTCCTCACAAAAAATTTATATCACTTACCGAAGAGCCTCTGAAAACATGACTCAGAATACGTTGGCTGTCACAGACATATGTATTATTATACCCAGTAAAGGAGAAAGTCCACCACACACATTCTGCAAAGTTGACAAGAATCTCAATAATAGTATGGTAAGTGACTCTTTTGCACTTATAAAATTAACCATCGATGAAAAGATCATAACGTAAAATGTTTGGAGAACAGCATAGCATAATTACTGAATTAAAAATATGTTTTTAAAGATGTTGGATATTTTATTTTTAGGAAAGTACTTTAGTTGTACTTTCAAAAGGAGCTATGCAAAAAGCCTTTTTTAACTTTATTTTCTCTGTATATTTGTCTTCAATGCTATGAATCTGTCCTCATGCACTGGTTTATGCAGATACTCTATCATGTGTGCACAACGTGTCCTTTCTCATTTAACACACATTCATTAAACATTTCTACATAGCAGGCACAGTTTTAAGTGCTACAGATATACTAGGGAACAAAACAAAGCCCTTGCCATCATGGAACTTATATTTTACTGGTGAAAGGCAGATAATAAATAAGAAAATATACAATATGCCAAATGGTGGTAAGTGCTGTGCAAGGAAGAAAAGCAAGAAAGGGGTGAAAGGGAGGACTGGGAAGGGTAGAGGAAGGCTTTGTTATTGCATATAAGGTGATGAAATAACAAAGTGGCATTTGAGTTGAGACCCAAAGAAGGTAAGGAAATGTGCTGCGTGAATATGTCTGTCACCACCTAATGTCAAGTGGTAATATCTCCCAAGTTAAATCTCCATTTTAGACCTCTCACCTTAGCTCCATTTGATTCTTCACTTGGATGTCTAATAGATTTTTCAAACTTAAAATGTCTAAAACTGAACTCTTTTCTTTACCCCAAAATCTGCTTTATCCAGTCTTCCTCATCTCAGTTACAGCTAAGTCTAGAAAACTCCTTTGTGGGCAGCAGTTATTTATTTATTTATTTTTAGCTTTTTTTTAAATTAATTTATTTTTGTTACAGATGTTTCTCCTTTTTTCCCCATTGACACCCTCCTCCTGATCCTCCACACCCCTCCTCCCCGCCCACCCCATCCCCAGCATCATTGTCTATGTCCATGGTTATGCATACATGCATATAAATTCTGTGGTTCATCTCTTCCCTCCCCTCTCTCTGACCCCCCTTCTGAGGTTGTCAGTCTGTACCCTACTTCTGTGTCTCTGGGTTTATTTTGTTCATCAGTTTGTTTTGTTCATTATATTCCACAAATAAGTGAGATAATGTGATATTTGTCTTTCTCTGATTGGCTTGTTTTGCTTAGGATAATACTTTCCAGGCCCCTCCATGTCATCTCAAAGAATAAGAGATCTTTCGCCCTGGCCGGTTTGGCTCAGCGGTTAGAGCATCGGCCTGCGGTCCGGAGAGACCCGGGTTCGGTTCCCGCTAAGGGCATGTACCTCGGTTGCAGTTTGTCCCCGGCCCTGGTTGGTCGTGCGGGTGGCAGCCACTCGATGTGTCCCTTTCATGTCGATGTTTCTCTCTCTCCCTCCCACTCTATCTGTGCAAAAAACGGAAAAAAATGTCCTTGGGTGAGGATAAAAAAAAAAAAAAAAAAGAATAAGAGATCTTTCTTTCTTATAGCTGCATAGTATTCAATTGTGTGAATGTACCACAGCTTTTTTATCCACTCATCTGTTGATGAACACTTGGGCTGTTTCTAGATCTTAGCAATTGTAAATAGTGCTGCTATGAACATAGGGGTACATATATTCTTTCTGATTGGTGTTTCAGGCTTCTTAGGATATATTCCTAGAAGCAGTATCATTAGGTCAAATGGCAGTTCAATTTTTAACTTTTTGAGGTAACACCATAGTGTTTTCCATAGTGGCTACACCAGCAGTGTACTAGAGTCCCCTTTTCTCCACACCCTCACTAGCACTTGTTATTTGATAATTTATTGATGGCAGCCATTCTGGCAGGTGTGTGGTAATACCTCATTGTTGTTTTAATTTGCATCTCTCTGATAATTAGTGACATTGAGTATTTTTTCATATGTCTCTTGGCCATTTGTATGTCCTGTTTGGAGAGGTGTCTCTTTAGGTCCTCTGCCCGTTTTTTTATTGGATTCTTTATCTTCCTTTTGTGGAGTTGTGGCCAGCAATTATTTAAAACCATGGGATCATTTAAATGTATGAGATCATTTAGAGAAAGGAAAGGAAAGAAGAGATCAAGAAGAGATCACAATTAATGATCAGAAAAAGAGAGAGGATGCTGCAAAGGAGAATGAGTGCCCTAGCCTGGTGTCTCATTTGGTTGGAGTGTCATCCTGTATACCAAAAGATTGGGGGTTTGATACCTGGTCACGTCACATACCTAGGTTTCGGGTTCAGTCCCAGTCGGGATGCGTACAGGAGACAATCCATCGATATCTCTCTCTCTCTCCTTCCCTTCCTTTCTCTCTATAAAAATTAATAAAAATGTCCCCAGGTGAGGATTAAAAAAAGGAGACTGAGGGGTGAGGTAGCCAGCGATTTGATGGAGGAGGGACCAGAAGAATGTGATGCCTCAAAAGCCAAGAAAATAAAATGTTCCAGGAAGGGAGTTATTAGTGGTATCAAAATTTTCTGAGCCCTGGCCGGTTTGGCTCAGCGGTTGGAGTATCGGCCTGCGGTACAGAGAGACCTGGGTTCGGTTCCCGCTAAGGGCACGTACCTCTGTTGCAGTTTGTCCCCGGCCCTGGTTGGTCGTGCGGGTGGCAGCCACTCGATGTGTCCCTTCACATCGATGTTTCTCTCTCTCTCTCCCTCCCGCTCTATCTGAACAAAAAATGGAAAACTGTCCTCAGGTGAGGATAAAAAAAAAAAAAACAATTTTCTGAGAGGTTGAATAAAATGAAGACTAGAAATTAACTCCTGTATTAGATTTGGTATCGTTAAAGTTGTCAAGGTGTTCTTCTAAGGAATGGTGAAATTAAAACCTGTTTTGGAATGGATTCAGGAGAGAATGGGATATAAGAAAAAGGATATGGCAAATTACTCCTGTTGAGTTTTGGTATAAAGAGCTGCAGAAAAAGCTGGCAATATCTATCTGAAAAGGGTTTTATGGAATCAAAAGGAAGGTAGACACACAAGTGGTATTTCTTAGTTAATCACTTCTGCCCAAATTTTGGACTTAGCATAAAATCTAAATTTTTGTGGCTTAATTTTATTTTAAAGGGTCATATTTTCATGTTATTGCAGTTAGATTTGACTTCTGACAGAAAAATGGGCAATAACTCCAGTAAAATGCTCACAAAATAACCAACTGAAAATAGCTAACAGAGAGCACTCTTTTACATCTTAGATAACACATCTAAAAAAATAAGAGATTTTATTTTATTAAGTTATTACCTTTTAAAATTAATGGTATTTTCTTTTTTTTAATTCAGTGGGGATCAGCAGTATACTTATGTTATAAAAAATCAGTGGCAAAAACTAACACGATATCTTACAAAGCTGGTAAGTATAATTTTTCATGGGATACTTAATATATAAGTGTATTATGGGGCCCAATAATATTAAAGAATAAACAAAACCTGTCTTACATTGTGTTAGTGTCAAGACTGGAACTACACAACCCATGTCTTTTGATTCTGTTTTGTTTTCACCCATACAGTTATTGGAAGATTAATATTAAAAGAAGGCAGGATTTTTTAAAAACATTAGGTTTAAATAAATAATAAGTAGAAATTAGTTCTCTTAAGTTTTTAAATCAGTAGAAAATATGGAAAAGTATTTTCCAGTTAAATTAATATTTCTTTTACATTTACATCAAATTTAGTCAAATCTGTAGTTCATATGTAATTGTTTTATAGTAATCTGAAATATTATAAACTAATTTGTGATTTTTAATACATAGCTGAAATGTTCAATTGTCAGAAACCTCAAAATAGCAAACATACTGATCTTATTTAGGTGCACCTAAATTCAAGAGATGATAACCTAACATTTATTGTTGTTTTTATAGGTCTGATTTGTAGATATCCTCAAGAAGATTATGAGTCATTCTCACTTCCAGAATCTGTTCCCCTATTTTGTTTACCAATGGGTGCAACAATTGAATGTTGGCCATCAAACAGCAAATACCCGCTCCCTGTATTTTCTACATTTGTGTTAACTGGAGCCTCAGCTGAAAAGGTACTGTGTGTTTTAACAAGTTATATTGGTAGATTTCTTGTACATTTTAAATTTAACTTTTTTTATAATGAAAGGAACAGTAGAAAAACATAACTGGTTAAGTTGAATCTATTTTACAAACCTCTTTCTTTTGGTTAAAGTAACTATATCCAGGGACAAGGAAAAGGTAAGTTTCATTCTATTCCAAATACCCAAATGCTTTCTTGTGAATGTGGTGAAAGATTTTTCATTTGTTAAATAATGATCCTTCATTCCTTTATTTTATGTGATACAGAAGCTTTGAAAGTAATACAAAAGACATAATTAAATATGCAATACTATTTAGAATCATAGACTATTATTGTTGGAAGGGACCTTGGAAATTATCTAGTCTGACATTATCATTTTACAGATTGAGAAATTAAAGTCTAGAGAAATTCAGTGAATTGCCTTAAGTTGGAATTTGTATTTCCCTATTTAAAATTGTCCCACTGCTTACTAAATAATAGTTCTTAATCATTTTCTTATAGAGAATATTGATACAATTTATTTTACTCTCTATGAAACAAATGTAATTTAATTGAAACACTTTTTTTAAAATAAGGAGATGTGAGAGTAACACTTGTATAGTTTTAAATTTTTATTATATTTTTTAATGTACATCAAGAAAACAAAGAGTGATGTCTATTCACTACTGTGTTCCTAGTACCTGGCACCTTGCCTGACTCATAAGCATATAATAGCTCATAATGGCCTGGCTCATCATGGCTTATCCATTAAATATTTAACTAATGGTGTGATTTGAATAAATAATATAAGGTGTATTTAGTAAGTATGTTACTTGTTTTCCAGGTCTATGGTGCTGCTATTCAGTTTTATGAACCATATCCTGAGGAGAATCTCACAGAAAAACAGAGACTTCTTTTGGGTTTAGCAAAATCAGCAGATGGGAAGTCTGATGGTTCCAAAACAGTTCACACTAATAAATGCATCTGTCTTCTTTCTCACTGGCCTTTTTTTGATGCATTCAGAAAGTTTCTGACTTTTTTGTATCGTTATTCCATCTCTGGACCTCATGTCCTTCCAATTGAGAAGTAAGTTAGAAGCCTTCTTGGTTCAAAATTTGACATACTACACTAGTATATTTGTATTGGTAATTGAATTGTACTGGTAAATTTTATATGGAAACTAGATTTGTCAGGAGTTATTTGAAAAAAAAGAGTTTGGTTGTTTCTATCAGGAATATATATATATATATATATATATATATATATTTTAAATCTTCACTTGAGGACATTTTTCCATTTATCTTCAGATAGACTGGGAGGGAGGAAAGGAGGGAGGGAGGGAGGGAAAGAAACATCAATGTGAGAGACACACATTGACTGGCCGCCCCCCACAGGACCATGACCAGGGCCAGAGATGGAACTGCAACCGAGGTACGTGCCCTTGACCAGAATTGAACCTAAGACTCTTTGGTCCTCAGGCTGCCGCTCCAACTGCTGAGCCAAACCGGCTAGGGCAATCAGAAATATTTATGTATTATACTTTTACAGCCATGGTTTTTTTTTTTTCATCTCTAACAAAATAATTGTTTCATTTTTTTATGTTCTTGTGGAGTTCGGAGATCCTAATTGGAATTTTATAAAAAGTTTTGTAATTCTTATTTTATACACAACTTGGGTTTATTATGAACCTTTACAAATATTTCTTACTATTTTTAGATGTCATGAATTTAAAGGAAAAATTAAATAAGTGCATTCTTTATTCTTTTCTACAATTTTAGTGATTTATTTTAAAATCATTAACATTGAATAATGTTTCATGCACTAAAATTTGACGCAAATGAGATCTAAATACCTCCATTGTCTGACTATTGTTTATTTCATTCCATCAATCACTTAAGCTCTTTTGTGTTCTTAGGCAGAATTCTCTGACTGTAATGACAGTTAGAAAATGATAGAATTATCATAAGAACAGTTGGTGTACAAGATTACTCTTTAATTTTTCCTTGCACTTTTCTAATCTCAGTATTTCATTGCAGCTGTTCTCAGGTGTTTTTGGTCTCAGGACCCCTTTATACTCTTAAAAACTGAGGACCTCAAAGAGCTTTTCTTTAATTGTTATATCTGTTGATATGATACGTTGTATAATAGAAATTACAACTGAGAACTTAAAAATATATTAATTTTAGCCCTGGCCGGTTTGGTTTAGCGGTTAGAGCATTGGCCTGCGGTCCTGAGAGACCAGGGTTCGATTCCCGCTAAGGGCGCGTACCTCGGTTGCAGTTTGTCCCCGGCCCTGGTCGGTTGTGCGGGTGGCAGCCACTCGATGTGTTCCTTTCACATCGATGTTTCTCTCTCTCTCTCTCTGTTCCTCTCTCTTCCTCCCACTCTACCTGAACAAAAAATGGAAAAATGTCCTTGGGTGAGGATAAAAATATACATATATATATATATATATATATAAAATTTATATATATATATAAATTTTATTTTTAAACATAATAAACCCATTACATGTTAACATATATATATTTTTTTATTTTAAATTTTTTCAAAGTAACTGTTCTCTAACGCACACAAAAAATTAGAAGAATGACATTTTTTTACATTTTTACAAATCTAATGTCTGGATTAATTGAACACAGGTTCTCATGTGTGCTTCTATATTTAATCTGTTGCAATATGTTGTTTGGGTTGAAGTATATGAACCTGGCCTTACACAGATAAGTAGGTGGAAAAGGGAAGACGTTTAAATAGTTTTTTCAGAAAATTGTGGGTTTTCCTTTTTGTCACTGCACCCAGACATAATAAGTGTTTATTATAGCGATCAGCAGACATTTGGTTCTGTCCAAAGCATCCATGGAAACATTTGATCCATGTTGACTCATCTACTCTACCCCATGTGCCATTGCCAGCTAGGTTACTGAGGCAAAAAGGGTTATTGGCAATACAGCCATGACACAATTATTGGATCAGTAAAATTTGATAGTGTTTTGTTATGTCTTAATCCTACCAAAAGTATAAATAAATGTTATGGGCTATCTGAACCCAAAGACGTTTTCAAAGCTTGGATGTTTTTCACAGGACCAGATATCAAGAACAATTTGTCATGTACCATTTTTCATAGAACCAAATATTAAGGAATTTTGGCATGGACCAAATGTTGCTGCGGACTCAGTCACACAAATGCTTTTCTTCAAGACAACCATTGTACTGCTTTGCATAGCAGATATGCTTTATGTATACTTCCCCTTTCATAGAATTTTTTTTTTTTTAAGTACATTGCAGCCCAGGCCAGTGTGGCTCGGTTGGAGCATCATCCTGTACACCAAAAGGTCCAGCAGGTTTGATCCCCAGTCAGGGTGCATATGGGAGGCCTTGGATCCCATGTTTCTCTCTCTCCCTTCCTCTCTCTAGAATCAATGAAGAACATATCCTTGAGTGAGGATAAATACATATATAGATAAATTAATATACATAAATAAATAGTATACATAAATAAATAAATAGTGTCAAAATTTAATAAAATTAATAATATTTATTGTTTAATCAAAAACATTTTTAAGTGAAACTGAATACAATGAGTACTGATACAGTTTGGTGCCTTGATTCATAGTAAGATGTCAGCAGTTTTATCCACAATGCTTTTTCACCATCAGTGCAAATATCAATACAGTGAAAGAGGTAAACGAAACCTTACTATAAAAATAGTTTTGCCTTGGCCCCTCTCTCTTCTCTTCTCTTCCAGTCCCTTGTCCCTTCTTTTCCCTTTCCTTCCCTTACCTTCTCTTCCCTTCTCCTCAAAATCAATATATATATCCAAGGATGAGGATTTAAAAAATAAATAGTTTTGACATTGAAGATCCTCCATGAATGGGTCTTAGAGATCTTTAGATGTTCACTTTTGTTTTCTGCTGTTCTGACTACTTTAGATAATTCAAACAAACGTGTGTCCTCTGGAACCCATTCCCCTTATCGTTTTTCCTTAGGTTATGCATACCTTCGTGGTAGTATATGCCTTTTTTATAATGCCCACAATGTCTGGCAGTGTCTTATAAATAGCAAGCAGTCAAAATATTTGTAAAATTAATAAATTTCTCTTTTAATGTTATCTATCCAGTTGAAATTATCCCAGTTCTGAAACAAAGATGATTCTGAAATAATGTTTAAGAGAAAAGTAATGCAGAAATAAAATCACTTTTTTCTTTAAAAAAAGAAAGGGAAGCCCTGGCCAGTTTGGCTCAGCGGTTAGAGCGTCGGCCTGCGGTCCGAAGAGACCCGGGTTCGGTTCCCGCTAAGGGCACGTACCTCGGTTGCAGTTTGTCCCCGGCCCTGGTCGGTCGTGCGGGTGGCAACCACTCGATGTGTCCCTTTCACATCGATGCTTCTCTCTCTCTCTCCCTTCCTCTCTCTCCCTCCCACTCTATCTGTACAAAAAATGGAAAAATATCCTCGCGTGAGGATAAAAAAAAATAAAAAAATAAAAAAAAAAAGAAAGGGAAGATTTTTCACTATTGTTGCTTTTTTCTTTTCCATAGTGTTCAAAACAAAACACATCAATTTCGCTTTTTATACATTTTCTTCTGGAAAAAAAAAACAAACATAAAGTCAGTAGTACAATTTTTAACCTATTGTTAATAGAAAGTACAGGAATACCTTGGAGATACTGTGAGGAACCGTTCCAGACTAATAAAGTGAATATGGCAGTAAAACAAGTTGTAATCTTTTTGCTGGTGGGAAGTTTTGCATTTAGTTTGTAAAAAATGCAACATCTGTAAAGGGAAGCTCAAAGCTCAGTAAAACGATGTGTGTCTGTATATTGTTCATCCTTTAGAAATAGTTAAACTCATTTTTCTGGGGTATTCTAAATGGTGTCTCACTTTTAAAATATGAGCAGTTGACAAAAAACTAAATTACGAATGCGCGAAAATGCACGAATTAGCTTTTTTGTTAATGTCCACATATGTGATACATTGTATATTATCTACTTAGGGAGAGGTAAAAGTTAAAATGGCTTTTGAGGTATTCATAACATAAACATTGGTGAGTATGAACAGCTATTAACATTAAAGTTATTGAATTTAGGTAGAAGTAACTTTAATGGGACAAATGCTTTTTCATTGTTTGTTCACTTGTTTTCATAGTAACAGGGATTTCGTATAGGTTCACAGAACTTTCAACTTAACTTGGACTTGTGGTGACATCTTGACATTTGTAGCACATGGTACTCACATTGGAATCAATTGGCTTTTTGTTTGTTTGTTTTCAAGGCATATTTCTCATTTTATGCACAAGGTTCCTTTTCCATCTCCTCAGAGACCACGGATTTTAGTTCAGGTAAGATTTTCTTGATATAAGTGCCCTGTTGAATGAATATTGGCTCTGTCCAAATGTAACATAAGAGTAACAATTTTATTTTTTTATTTAATTTATTTATTTTTGTTACAGATGTTTTTCCTTTATCCCCTACTGATATCCCTCTCCCCAACTCTCCCCGCCCTGTCCCCAGCTTTGTTGTCTATGTCCATTGTTCCTGCATACATGTATATAAGTTCTGTGGTTTATCTCTCCCTCCAAACCCCTCTTCTGGGGATTGTCAGTCTGTACTCCACTTCCACGTCCCTGGGACTACCCCATTCCTCAGACTGTTATATTCATTATATTCCACAAATAAGTGAGATCATGTGATATTTGTCTTTCTCAGCTTGGCTTGTTTCACTTAGGATAATACTCTCCAAGTCCCTCCATGTCGTCTCAAAGGATAAGAGATGTTTCTTTCTGCCCTGGCCAGTTTGGCTCAGCAGTTGGAGCGTTGGCTTGTGATCTGGAGAGACCCAGGTTCCGTTCTCGCTAAGGGATGTACCTTGGTTGCAGTTTGTCCCCGGCCCCAGTTGGGGTTGTGTGGGTGGCGACCACTCGATGTTTCTCTCTCACATTGATATTTCTCTCTCTCCTTCCCTCCCTCTCTCCCTCTCGCTCTATAAATGCAAAAAGTGTCAAGTGAGGATTTAAAAAAAAGATCTTTCTTTCTTACAGCTGCATAGTACTCCATTGTGTATATGTACCACAGCTTTTTTATCCATTCATCTACTGATGGACACTTGGGCTGTTTCCAGATCTTAGCTATAGTAAATAGTGCTGCTACAAACATGGGGGTACATATATTCTTTCTGATTGGTGTTTCAGGTTTCTTAAGGTATATTCCTAGAAGTGGGATCACTGGGTCAAATGGCAGTTCAATTTTTAATTTTTTGAGGTAACACCATCGTGTTTTTCATAGTGGCTGCACCAGTCTGCATTCCCACCAGCAGTGTACTAGAGTCCCCTTTTCTCCACACCCTCGCCAACACTTGTTTGATGATTTGTTGATGGCAGCCATTCTGACAGGTGTGAGGTGATACATCATTGTTGTTTTAATTTGCATCTGTCTGATGATTAGTGATGTTGAGCATTTCTTCATATGTCTTTTGGCCATTTGTATGTCCTGTTTGAAGAGGTGTCTATTTAGTTCCTGTGTCCATTTTTTAATTGGGTTCTTTGTCTTCCTTTTGTTGAGTTGTATGAGTACTCTATATATTTTGGAAATTAACCCCTTATCTGATGTATCATTGGCAATTATGCTCTCCCATACAGTAGGTTGCCTTTCCATTTTGATGGTTGTTTCTTTTGCTGTGCAGAAGCTTTTGAGTTTGATGTAGTCCCATGTGTTCATTTTTTCCTTTGTGTCTGTTGCCATAGGTGATATATCAGTGAAAATTCTGCTGCGTATGATGTTCGAAATTTTGTTGCCTACATTTTCTTCTAGAATTTTTATGGATTCATGGGTCACATTTAAGTCTTTTATCCATTTTGGGTTTATTTTTGTGTATGGTGTAAGTTGATGGTCTAGTTTCAATTTTTTGCATGTAGCTGTCCAATTTTCCCAACACCATTTATTAAAGAGGCTGTCTTTACTCCATTGTATGCTCTTGCCTCCTTTGTCTAACATTAATTGAGCATAATGTCTTGGGTCCATTTCTGGGTTCTTTGTTCTGTTCCTCTGGTCTATATGCCTGTTCTTATACCAGTACCAGGCTGTTTTGATTCCAGTCGCTTTGTAGTATAACCTGAAATCTGGTAATGTGATCCCTCCAACTTAGTTCTTCTTTTTCAAAATTGGTGTGGCAAGAATAACAATTTTAAATGGGGGGAAATCAAATAGGATTAAAAGAGAACAAGATGTTATTTAATTTTGGAGTTTGGGTCTTACTGTCTTATTAACTGCCTTCCAGACAATTAATTTTTCTTTCTTAAATAAAGGATTGCAGAGTTAAAGAAGTAGGAGGCAGTAGACATTTGAACACACAAGAAGGAACTTCTTTCCTTAAATTTGTTTTAGGTATTTGAAAGTTTCTCTGTGGCTTTGGCTTTTATTCCCTAAGTTAAGTATATTAGAGTATATAGAAGGAAAAGTTGTGTGTTTTCATATAGTGCAGGAAGGAATGCTTATATCTTTGTGATGGGGGTAGTTTAAAAGGAACATAAATTATTTTCCCCATATTTTTTCCAACTGACTGTATCTTTCCTCTTTTGTTCATATTTTTGTTTGTATTCTTGATATCTAAGTTTCTGCTTATTTAATCATCATTTATGAAGCTGTTTACATTAAGACAATATTTTCATGTAATATCACTAATTGTGCTTTACTATATCTATCATAGCCCTTAATAGGGTATCATTTGAAATTAGAAATCATTTGGCAAATAGATATTTAAAGATTTGTGAAATCTGCATAAATTTGAAAATGTGCATAAAAATAATTGCATTATTATATTGGTACCGATAAAATGTCTAGAAAAATATCATTTGATGAGTTTTATAATCATTCTGCATATTTACATATAATTTCTGTCTTCTTGGTATTTAGTGACAGAATATATGTAGCACACTCAGTTGGAATACACAGAAAATATTTGCTTTATAACAGAAGTTGGCAAACTTTTTCTGTTGAGGCCAAAAAGTAAATATTTTAGTATTTACAGGCCATGCTATCTCTATTGAAACTACTCAGCTCTGCTGTTATTGCACAAAAGCAGCTAGAGGTGTATGTAAATGATGAGTTCTGATAAACTTTATAAAAACAAGTGGCCTGTGGATTAGCCCTAGAGGCCATAGGTTTGCTAGCTCTGGTTTTATGGTATTAAATGAATAATTTAGTGTCTCAATAAAGATTTGTTAAAATGGCATTAAGGAAACATTGAGGAACAGAAGAAAATATATAGGATTTAGAATGGAGGAGTTGGTAGTCAGAAGAGGTCAGTGATCATGACATATTTTTCAGGATCTTAGTAAGTGACTATACTAAGGAATGAATATATTGAAACATCATCATCATTAGTCTATGTTTTTACCAGAAAGTGGTGTTTTAAAGTTTATGTTTTAAATACTGTATTTTAAATCTTCCAGTTATCGCCACATGATAATCTGATCCTCAGTCAGCCTGTTTCTTCACCTCTTCCATTAAGGCAAGTAAAACTTCATTTCTATTTATGTTCCTCTAAATCTAGTGTGAGCTCAAGTAATATTAAAATATTTTTTCTCTTTCCTAGGTAAAATTTTAAATGTTGATGGAAATATTTTTCATTTAACTGTTTCTTACCTAAATTCCATTTACTTAATATTTAGGTTAATATTCTTAAAAAAAGAAAGGCATCACCCTGGCTGTCTTGCTCAATGGTTAGAGCATTGACCCATACACCAAAGGGTCTTGGGTTTGATTCCCAGTCAAGGGAAAATACCTGGATTATGGGTTCAATCCCCAACCCTGCTGGGGCCCATGCAGGAGGCAGCCAATCAGTATGTCTCTCTCTCCCCCTTTCCCTCTGTCCCCCCCCCCTCCACTCTCTCTAACAAGAACAACAACAACAAAAATCCTCAGGTGAGGATTAACAAAAAGAAAAAGAAAGACTTTTACAGTAGTGTTTGGTATTTTGTGTATCCATTTGTTATCATAATAAATAGGTGCATATGTATGTAGATTATGAAAACAGTTATTTTTAGTTTTAAGTGTTCTCTGAAAAACATTCAAATGCAATTAATTTTCAGTTTAACCTCAAAATAAAAAGATACTTATAAATATTAAACCATGGAATAGAACATTGTATTTCACCACCTTAAAAGTTCAGAGAAATTATGAAATATGTTTTTTCTACGGTATTTCTTGAAATTTAATTAGCTGTATAATTTTTCTAGCAGAGAAATAGTTACAGTGTAATTAAGCTAATTTTGTAGCATATACCTAAAGGAGACTAGGTGCCATCTTTTTTAAAAATTTTTTTTATCCTCAGCCGAGGACATTTTTGCATTTATCTTCAGATAGAGCAAAAGGGATAGAGGGAGGAAGAGAGAGAGAAACATCGATGTGAGAGAGACACATCAACTGGTTGCCACCCACATGACCCCAACCGGAGCTGGGCTCGAGCTGCAACTGGGGTATATGCCCTTAGCAGGAACCAAACCCAGGACTCTCTGGTCCGCAGGCCAACGCTCTAACCACTGAACCAAATTGGCCAGGGCTAGGTGCCATCTTTGACATTAATTTTGTAAGAATTTCAGATTATTTCATCACTAGATCTCCACCTAGGGTGACCAGTGTTTTTTCTAACCTTTTTTTCTTTCAATCGTCGTCCAAGGATATTTTTCTGTTTATCATCAGATAGAATGGGAGGGAGGAAGAGGAAGAGAGAGAGAGAGACTGCAAGGGGGGGGGGGGGAGAGAGAGAGACTTTGATTCGAGTGAGACACATCAACTGGTTACCTCCCACAGAACCCCACCAGGGCCGGGCGAACCGTAACCAGAATCGAACTGGTGACTCATTGGTCCACAGGTGAACCCTAGAACTGCTGAACCAAACTGGCCAGGGCTTCTTAACCTTTTTTAAGCCAAAAATAAACTAGTAATACTGGCTGAGACTATGTAAAAATGATTCTAAATTACCCAAGGACTATTTTTTTTTTGTTAACAGCTTTTTTTTTGGTATATAATTCACATACTGTACAGTTCACCCAATTAAATTGTACGATTCACTGGTTATATTCACGAAGCTCTGCAACTATCACTATAATCAATTTTAGGATACTTTCATCTCTCTAAAAAGAAGCCCTGTATGCTTTAGCAGTTTATGTTCCCTATTTCTCCCATCCCTACACACAAAAACACACATACCTCCCCAACCCTTGGCAACAACTAATCTGCATTCTGTCTACAGATTTGCCTCTCCTGAACATTTCATATAAAGGGAATAATATTACATTTGGCCTTTTGTATTTAGCTTCCTTCACTTAGCATAATGTTTCCAAGTTTTATCTATGTCGAAGTGTGTATCAGTACTTCATTTTTGTTTGTTTATTTGTTTGTTTATCCTCATCTACAGATATATTTTTCATTGATTTTTAAAGGGAGTGGAAGGGAGGGAGGAGGAGAGAGAGAGAGAGAAACATTGATGTGAGAGAGAGACATATTGTTCGGTTGCCTCCTTAACGCGTCCTGACCGGGACCAGGGATTGAACCTACAACCCAGGTATGTACCCTTGGCTGGGTGGGAATCGAACCTCAGACCCTTTGGTGCATGGGCCGATGCTCTATCCACAAAGCCATACTGACCAGGGTGAGTACTTTATTTCTTTTTATTTCCAACAAATATTTCAGTATATGAATATACAACTTTTTTTTAAATTCTCACCCGAGGATATTTTTCCATTAATGTTTACACAGGGTAAAAGGGGATAGGGAAGAGAGAGAGAAAAACATCCATGTGAGAGAGACACATTGACCAGTTGCTTCCTGCACAACCCTGACAAGGCTGGGGTTTGAACCTGCAACCCAAGTACGTGCCCTGGCAGAAATCGAACCCTTGACCCTTTAGTCCACGGGCCAATGCTGTAACTACTGAGCACCTGCCAGGGCTGAATACACCACATTTTTATTTTTCCATTCATCACTCTGTGGACTTTTTGGCTGCTATGAATAATGCTGCTATGAACATGCACAATTTTTTTGTGACATATATTTTCATTTCTCCAAGAGACTTTTGTTACTAGTTTTGCTTTATTTAAAAAAATAATAATTCAGCCCTGACCGGTTTGGCTCAGCAGTTGGAGCATCGGCCTGCGGTACAGAGAGATCCGGGTTCAATTCCCGTTAAGGGCATGTACCTCAGTTGCAGTTTGTCCCCGGCCCTGGTTGGTCTTGAGGGTGGCAGCCACTCGGTGTGTCCCTTCACATCGATGTTTCTCTCTCTCTTCCTCTCTCTCCCGCCCGCTCTATCTGAACAAAAGGTGGAAAGGTGTCCTCGGGTGAGGATAAAAATAATAATAATAATAATAATTCAGTGAAGCCAATTATTTAACATTATATAGACAAAATGCTGGTTGTTCAACTGAATTATTTACTTTGTCAACCTAGTGTTTTGTTATCGTACAGAATGTCTAAGTTTTGGTTATGAATTTGCCTTGTATTTGTATATCATCACTTGGTAGCTCTTGATTTCGTATTATTGTTATTATAATATTAAAGAGGATCTATTCATAAATCTAAATTTTAATATGTGTATTTACCTTAGGGAGCTGGGCCTGTAAATCATGTAGTTTTTTAAAAATAATTATTAGCGTGGAAGATGAGCCAAACTTTCATTAAAGTATTTGCTTTTTTAAAATTTTTTTTTATTTTTTTATCCTCACCCGAGGACATTTTTCCATTCAGACAGAGCGGGAGGGAGAGAGAGGAAGAGAGAGAAACATCGACATGAAAGGGACACATTGAGTGGCTGCCACCCGCACAACCCAACCAGGGCCGGGGACAAAATGCAACCGAAGTACATGCCCTTAGCGGGAACTCAGCTCTGGTCTCTCTGGACTGCAGGCCGACGCTCTAACCGCTGACCCAAACTGGCCAGGGCAAAGGGCTTGCTTTTTAAATCGAAGCATCCCTCTTATAAATTAAATTCTTTATTTGGACATTATCTACATGGTAGATCTGTCTATACAAAATAAAGCAGATGACTTTTCATATTGAATACAATGCAGAAGAATTGAATGATTTTGAAACCTCATAAAAGTTCAGTGTTGTCATAGTATATTTCTGAAGCAGTGTTTTCCCTACATAAGGTTAGCAATCACATTTAAAGTTGAATATATAATACAAATTCTACCCTAAACACGAACTTTTTTTTTTTCATTATTTTGGGTAATGAATTATTTGATCTTATTTTATTAATTACATATTTTTGTTTGGATTGACAGTGGTGGCAAGTTTTCAACACTACTTCAGAATTTAGGCCCTGAAAATGCTGTGACACTACTGGTGTTTGCAGTAACAGAACATAAGATTCTCATTCATTCCTTACGGCCTTCTGTGCTTACTAGTGTGACAGAAGCATTAGTGTCTGTGAGTATCACAATTTCTTATTGTGAAAATATATGATTTAAAGCTATTTTAATTCAGAGTGTAATGAGTTTTTATGTTATGAAAACAATTTAAATTTTCTGACCATTTATACTAGTTATAATTATTTAATTCATTTTCAAGCATTAGGCTTTAGGTATAAATATTTAAAAGATAATTTTTTTATGCATAAGTTACACTTCAATGTCAAACAGCTAAATATTCTCCAATCTTTTGTTTATCCAAGATGATATTCCCTTTCCACTGGCCATGCCCATATGTTCCTCTCTGCCCACTGGCTTTAGCCGATGTCTTGAGTGCACCATGTCCGTTCATAGTAGGAATTGATTCAAGATACTTTGATCTCTATGATCCTCCACCAGATGTTAGTTGTGTTGACTTGGATACCAACACCATTTCTCAGTAAGTACATTTTAGTGATTTTACACCTTATAATTTACTTCATAATGTATGTATGTAATTGTTTATTTTATGAATGCATATTAGAATTTCCCTTTAGCTATATTGTTTTTGTTTTTGGAATTATTACCATCTTTGCATCAGCTCTTACTGTATACTTCAGTGGGACAGATTTAAGACATTAGAGAAGGTTTTTTTGTTTTGTTTTGTTTTATCCTCACCCGAGGACATATTTTTTCCATTTTTTGTTCAGATAGAGTGAGAGGGAGAGAGAGGAAGAGAGAGAGAGAGAGAAACATCGACGTGAAAGGGACACATCGAGTGGCTGCCACCCGCACGACCAACCAGGGCCGGGGACAAACTGCAACCGAGGTACATGCCCTTAGCGGGAACCGAACCCGGGTCTCTCCGGACCACAGGCTGATGCTCTCACCGCTGAGCCAAACCGGCAGGGCGTAGAGAAGGTTGTTGTTTTTTTTTTATGAATTTTTATTTATTTTTTTGTTACAGATATTTTACCTTTTTACCCCATTGGCACTCCCCACCCCACCCCCCCTCCACCCTGTCCCCGGCTTAGTTGTCCATGTCCATTGGTCATGCATACATGCATATAAGTTCTGTGGTTTATCTCTTCCCACCCCCCCACCCCCCATCCCCTCTTCTGAGGGATGTCAGTCTGTGCCCTACTTCCATGTGTCTGGGTCTACCGTATTCCTCAGACTGTTATGTTCATTATATTCCGTTTATAAGTGAGATCATGTGGTATTTGTCTTTTTCTGCTTGGCTTCTTTCACTTAGGATAATACTTTCCAGGTCCCTCCATGTCGTCTCAAAGGATAAGAGATCTTTCTTTCTTACCGCTGCATAGTACTCCATTGTGTATATGTACCACAGCTTTTTTATCCATTCGTCTACTGGTGGACACTTGGGCTGTTTCCAGATCTTAGCTATTGTAAAGAGAAGGTTTTATTGAAAAGAAAATGTGCCTTTCATCTTTAGCTTTTTATTTATTTATTTATCCTTACCTGAGGATATTTCTGCATTTATCTTCAGATAGAACAGGAGGGAGAGAGGGTGGAAGAGAGAAAGAAACATCGATGTGAGAGAGACACATTGAGTGGTTGCCACCCACATGACCCCGGTTCCCAGCTGGGGCGGGGGACAAACTGCAACCGAGGTACGTGCCCGTAGTGGGAACCGAACCCGGGACTCTCTGGTCTGCGGGCCGATGCTCTAACTGCTGAGCCAAACAGGCCAGGGCCATCTTTAGCTTTTTAAATATTTAAGAAACATTATAATCTTATGCTTACCTAGTAATTTAGCAGAAGGGAAATTGAGGTTAGAAATATAAAAAGTTGCCCTGGCTGGTTTGGCTTAGCATTAGAGTGTTGGCCCACAGACCAGTGGGTCGCAGGTTCAATTCTGGCCAAGGGCACATACCTTGGTTGCAGTTTGTCCCCGGCCCCTGTTGGGGTTGTGTGGGTGGTAGCCAGTCAATGTGTCTCTCTCACATTGATGTTTCTCTCTTTCTCTTCCTCCCTCTCTCCCTCTCTGAAGATGAATGCAAAAATGTCCTCGGGTGAGGATTGAAAAAAACATTATACATAATTTACTTTTATACCCTAGGAGTATAAGGATTTTGTAAGTTTCTCTCTTTTACTGGAATAATATGTAAGTTGTACCACTGGAGCTATATATATTTATAGCTTTTCTTTATAATTAAATGTTTCTCTTATATCCCTTATTTTCAGTTTAATCATACTTATGCTATTAAGGGAAGAGGAAATTAATGCAGTGACCACATTGAATCCACAGGACGTGCTTAAAATAACTTCAAATTAGTCTATCATTAAAGCCCAAAAGCTAGTATGCTTTTACAAATTAAATATGTATATGTGAAATAGGTTTTTCTTCATTTTTAAATATGCATATGTTATACTAAAGCTTTTTTATTCGGTAATCTTGTATTCTAGTTTTGTCATATGTCAAAACCTCAAATACCTAAATCATCAGAAAAGTTTAGCAAAACAATAATTTTCTGTTACAAAGGATGTATAATGTCAAAAAGCTTTTATTCAGAGAAAGCCTAACCAAGAAAATATGGGATGTATTTTACACATTTTGTGTGTAAAAGCAGTTTTATATATGGGATCGATAGAGTCAAAGATTCTTTACCAGAAATGTTTAATTCTTTTTTTTTTTTTTATCCTCACCCAAGGACATTTTTCCATTTTTTGTTCAGATAGAGTGGGAGGGAGAGAAAGAGACAGAGAGAGAGAGAGAGCAACATGATGTGAAAGGGGCACATCAAATGGCTGCCTCCCACACACACGAACCAACCAGGGTCGGGGACAAACTGCAACCGAGGTACATGCCCTTCGCGGGAACCGAACCCGGGTCTCTCTGGACCGCAGGCCAACGCTCTAACCACTGAGCAAACCTGGCCAGGGCAGGAATGTTTAATTCTTTACCAGAAATATTTAAATTTTTAAATATTAAAGTAGTATCTTTTTTCTTTGCCAGTTGTTAATGTTACATGACATAGTGTTTTTAAAATTTTAAGTTAAGTCCGGCCGGTGTGGCTCAGTGGTTGAGCATTGATCCATGCACCAAGAGGTTGCCTGTTTGATTCCTGGTCAGGACACATGCCCAGGTTGTGGGCCTGGTCCCCAGTTAGGGACATGTAGGAGGCGTCCAATCAGTGTGCTCTCTCATCGACGTTTCTCTTTCTCTCTCCCTCTCACTTCCTCTCTCTCTAAAAATCAGTAAAGGAAAAAAAATTGAAGTTATGGATGGTAAATGAATCTATACTAGGTTTATTATGGTAATAAATTACATTTCCCTCTTTTTATACTTTCCTTCAATATGTTAAAAGAAGGTGTTTTTTTTTTAAATCTTCACCCGAGGATATGTTTTACATTGATTTTAGAGAAAGAGGAAGGGAGAGAGAAAGAGAAAGAGAGAAACATTGGTGTGAGAAACATTGATTGGTTTCCTCCCAAGCGTGCTCTGACTGGGAATTGAACCAGAACCTTTTGATGCACGAGAGGATGTTCCAACCAACTGAGCCACACTGGCCAGGGCTAAAATAATTTTTTATTATTGTATCTTTTTGTTTTGATCACTAATGAGTTAGAGAATCAAAGAAACATGAGTCATTTGTACTCATTAGTATTCTTCCTTCTTGATATTATCATCCTTATAAGCTTATGGGAAGATTAAACTAGTAAACTTAGAGCTTTCTACATTCCTTCATCCAGAATTTCTGGAGCCTCAACCTGAAATTTTAAAGAAAAACAATTTCTGAGTATGGAATTTTTTGTTTCCTTTTCCCTCTCTGACTCTTAGATACATGTAATACAGAGTATATTATGAATGTCAGGAAATTTCTGAAGAAAGGGAAATTAGTATCTGATATGTGCTAGGCATAAAGCTGTATGCATAGCCTAAATTATCTCATATTTTCTTTATTTTGCGAGATAGTTTTTATTGACCCTGTGACAGATAAGAAAACCAAAGTTTGAAATTTTAAGTAATTTATCAAAAGGCATATAACTTATACTGCCAGAACTAGATTTTGAAACCATCACTGTCTGATTTCAAACTAATACAGCTACCACTAATTATTGACTAACTGTTTATGTAATAGTATTCTTATAAATGACATTACCAAGAATGCAAATGCGGTACTAACTAAAACTGTCCTGCTCAGCTAAGTTTTAAAGTGAAGATATCAATTAGATGTAATAAAATGGTAACAAGATATTTTTCATTCATTTATGCTACCGACATATCCTGAACACCTTTTTGGGTTTCTTTTTGTTTTTTGTTTTTTTGCTAGGCACTGGAAATAAAAAGGCAAACTAAATACACTCCTTTTTCTTAAATTGCTCATAATTTAGTCTAGCAAGACAGGCATGCATACAGTGAATGATAAGGCACAGTGGGAGTGCTGTGTTGCAAAGCTTTATCAAGAAAATAACATAAATAGTGTTTCTATGTTGTGTTCTCACTGTAATGGAGGATCTGTGCTCCTGGTCACATTATAAATGAAATAAAACCTTCACAGCAGGACATCTGCAATTTGACCCTGCCCTATCTGTATTTTTATTCTCATTTGTGGAAAGATAGGATAGATTCTAAGACAGTTGTTCTTTGTCAGCTTAAGCTTTCCCATCCACTCTTTTTTCTTTGTTTAGTTTCCAAAGTGATATTTGCCCTTTTTATTCTGTGTGAAGTCTAGGCAACACTGAAAAACAAAAAAGTTCAACAGGTTTCACTACGCCCATGTGCTATGTCCTTGTCCTTTGGTGGTTAGAACATGAGTGATTTACTTTTCTTCTCCTTTTTCTGTACATTTTTCAAGTTTTCTAAAATTAGTATTTATTGCTGTTAAAATAGAAAAATATAATCAAATAAAGAGTGGAATAAACAATGCTATAGTAAAATACAAACACTTATGGTGTTTTATCACGATGCTTTTTTCTTCTCTTACCCCATATGTAGTTAAAGAAAAACTATTGTCATAGTTGTATTAAAGGAGATTATAGAAAGTTTGTCACAGAAACAAAGATATCACTTTCAAGCACATACGCTCTTTTATAGTTATTAAAGTATTTTGGAATGTTGTAGTTTATTTAATTAATTTAATATTAAAGATTATTTTCTGAAACCAAAATAACAGGTTTTTTGGAAACTAAGAAACAATATTTAAATATGCCAAAGTATTTTGATAAGCTCATTGAAAGTTTTCTACAGTGCTTTATCTTAGATCTGTAACAACAACAAAAAAAATCTATATAGTAGGATTTTCCCAATATTTAGGTGTCTACAGACTCCTAAGTGGAGTTTAAGAATAATGATCACCACATTAAGTTTAGTAGTGAATAGCATGATTCCAGTGCAAGTGGAATTTACTCAGTACCAATCACAAATTTTTGAGCTATATTTAATGCAAAGTTTTACCCTCCTATAGATTAATTTTTAAATATTCTACATCCCAGTTTACCTCAGCAATATTATTTCCTAGTAATTAGAATATTTTGTTGTGTTTTATTTTTTGTTCAATGTGTTTTTTCTTATACATCAAGTATACACTTTCTCCCCACCCCCCAAGAAAGGTCCGTCTAACAAATATATTATTTTTGCCATTTAATCTCAGAACTGGTGACAAGAAAAATGTGGCCTGGAAGATACTTCCAAAGAAACCATGTAAAAATCTGATGAACACACTGAATAATTTGCACCAGCAACTGGCAAAATGTAAGTGTCTAACTTAATTAAAGGAAATAATTTAATCTGAGAAAAGGACTCCTGTTACTTTGCTACTTGTAAAAAGATAGTGTTTATCTAAAGGAAAGTGTTTTTTTACAATCTTAAAGGCAAATGAGCACATAGCCAAAAAATTTTAGAAGATGAATGGGAGATTTATAAAATTTATTTTTTATAGAACTATTTTAGAATAATAGAATTCAAAAAGAAGTTAAGATGGTTATTCTCTTTAATTTTACTGTTACTGAAATACCCTGGAAAAAAGAAGAATTTCCACTTGTATATTATCTTTATACATGGAATAGAAAGTTAGTTTTGAAAATCTAATACAGGTGGTTTAAATGACATTAGAAAATGCTGGTTTCCAGTAGGGTGAGTGCTAGGTCATATGCTTTTCACCTTCAGTGGATCTTAATACTGTGCATACCTCACGTAATTTGAAAATAGAAGCTTGCTGAAAGCATTAAGAAATTAATCAAAATGAAAATTGATGAGATATGGAATATTTCAGTGAAAAGCTTATATATAAGAATATCTTGACAGTGATCCAGAATTACTAAGAAGAATTAAAACTTCATTTATCTAATCATCTTGGTATTTTATAACAATAATCCATTCAGGGCCCATAATTTAATACTTATTATATGAAAAATGTTCAGTAATTGTGTGGCAATATTTGAGGCTTTCATTTTTGTAGTAGGTAAAATATAAACATAGGTACCTGTAATATACTTGGAAGTAGACATGAAAGACAATGTTTACAAGTAGATAATTTGGAAGTGGCTCATAAATATTGAGATATTTTAAAAATTACATCAAATGAATAAAATTTTATGGAACAAGTAAATTATGTATGGAATTTTATTTAAACTACCCTAGTTAATTGCTTTCTAAAATGCATGCACTTCTTTTGAATAGCTGAGAAGTCCAGCAGCTTTTGTAACAATATTGAAATATTATTAAAATCAGTGAAATAGCCCATTTAGCTCTATTGAAGGGCAGAACCTTAAAGCTTCAAACTACAGACTTTTAAATAATACTGATAGTACAGGATTGTGTAACACTTTATAGCTTCAGAGCACTTTCTCATACATTCTTTTGAGGATAATAAGGTTGCGAGAGATAAAATACTTTCTTAAATATACAGATGAAGCTAATGATTAAAACTTGGGCCTTTTGTTCCAATGTCTACATGGTTTCTAATACTTATATTTTATTAGGCAATGAGAACTCCAAAAAACTTGCTTAGATGATTACTGTTCCTCATATTTTAAAAAGTTTTTAGATTTTGAAACAATCACATTTTTCTCCTGACCCTTTGAGACTAGATGCCCCATCACCTCCAAATGGAATTTATTTCTTACCAACAAGTACTTTCTCCTACATCACTACCATATAACCATGAAAATCAGGAAATTAACGTTCATTCAACATTACCGCCATCTTTATTCTCAGACCAGATTTGAGTTTTGCTAGTTATCATAAAATGTAATGTTCTTTATAGCAAAAGAATCTGTTTCCAAATCTAATGTTGTATTTATTTTCGAAGTCTCCTTATTGTCCTTTTGTCTAAACAATTCCTCAGTTTTTTCTTTTTCTTGACATTTTTTAAGGTGATACTTACTATTGTAGAATGGTTCATGATGTGGGTTTGTCTGAATGTCCTCATGATAAATACAGATCATTTACCTTTCACAGGAATATTGCAGAAGTGACACTGGGTTCTTTTCATAGCATCGTTATTAGATTGAGCACTGTATCAGTTTGTCGCATTGTTGATGAAGATGTTCACTTTGATCATCTGATTAGGTGGTGTCTACCAGGCTTCTTCTTCTCTGCAAAGTTATTCTTTTACTATCTAATAGCTTTAGCATTGATTTGTTCAGGAAGAGTGAGAGTTGATTTTCACATTTTAAACCCAGAATGTTCCTTCTCCTATAAGCACTTATATTTTTTTAAAAAAAAGAGGGAAGGACAAACTAGTGCATTTAACCCTGTGTCCAGTTGATATGTTTGTTATGATCTTCATTTATTAATTTACATACAATTATTTCATAACATGAACATTTTTTCTGACAGTAGTCAGATAAACAGGGATCATTTTATGTTTAATTTGGATCGAATGTACTCAGCAGAGCCTGGAAATGGTATGGCAAGCTTTTCTAGTATTTACATATTATGAAGTTATATAAACAAAGGTTGAGGTTACTTGAGCCCTTTTGAAAACACAACAAATTTTTTTCTTTCAATTTTATTGAGATATAATAGACATACAGGAATATATACGTTTAAGGTGTACAACATAATGGCTTGACATACATATGCAACAAATTTATATTGATACAATTATGAACATTAGCTTTGACTGTTTGAAGAAAACACTAACACTGTTATTTCTTCACAGTGCAGCAGAGACCAAGAGATGATGGACTGATGGATTTAGCAATGAATGACTATGATTTTAATTATGGAAAGAGGTTGCACATGATAGATTTGGAAATCCAAGAGGCATTTTTGTGTTTCATGGCCTCTATTTTAAAAGGTTATCGATCATACTTAAGACCAATCACACAAGCCCCATCTGAGACAGCCACAGATGCAAGTTCTCTTTTTGCTCTACAAGGTGAGTGATTGCATAGTTTTACAGTTGTCATATTACTAAACTTAACCTTGTGATGATTTCATTGCTTTCTGGGTTAATAGCTCATATTTATCAAAATATATACTTATTTTGAGAGAGTGTGAATAACAACTTTGTTGGTAATCCATTTTCATAGGACTTCTCAGGCACATTCAATATAACTCCATTGACAAAGTATACATAAGGAACTATTTGAAAAGTACAGAAATTTCTAAATATGTACTATTACACTTGTGTCACAGGTGTGTTTATATTGACGCTTTTAGCTTTCAGGGCAGCCAGCCAATGTTGGGCATGCTGAGTAGCCCAGGATGGTAACCTCCAGGCTTAAGCAGCCTCATTTGTTTTATTTCAGTGTGCTTTACAAATATTATTTTCTGTCTATACCATGAAGTAAAAAAAATGTTGGGAAGCCCTGGAATGCATTTTGTGTCATAATATGTATTCACTTTCTTTTGTGGTATTTAACATTTAAAAGAGAAAAATTTTTAAATAAACATATATTGAGAGCCTCCAAATGATAGGTATTGGGTACATAGTGGTATGCAAAAGATGCATGGTCACACACACACAAAAGAAAAGCAAGACATGATCACTTCTCCCATGGAGCTTATAGTCAAGAAGATAAGAAATTTGAAAATAATACGAATGAACACTTCAGTTCACAACTTTAGATCATAGAAGGCCATTGTGAGGAATTCACATCTGAACCATGATCAAAACGAGGAGTAGAAATCAGCCAGGCAAAGGGAAAGCAGAAGAGTGTTTTAGGCAGAGAGAACCGTTTATGCAAAGTCCCTGAGGCTGGAAAGAGTTTGAGTTCACAGACCCAAAAGAAACCTCACGTGTTGTATAACTGAGTATAATGAGCAAACTGGAGTTTGAAATAAGAAAATAAACTTTTACTCTGTTACAGTAAGTATGACACAAACATAAATGAATACTAGAGGGGATGGAACTGCTGTTTTGAAAAAGCTACATATGTATATGGAAAGAAAGAGCATGAACCATATGCACATAGCATACAATACATAAGGGGAAAAATAGCAATTTTAAAATGCTTTCATATTTGCTAGTTTATGTGTAATCTTCAAGGTAGTGAGAGGACAACAGAGACATTTCTGGATGAGGATTTGGAAGATCTGGATTCAAGTATCTTTCCTGTTGCTATCTTTGTCAGATCACTTCCCCTTTCAGGGTCTTAGTTTCTTTTTCTGCAAAATGGTAAGGTATAGATGACATAGTTGATCAAGTTCCTTCCAGCTTAAAAATTCTATGAATCTTTAAATGATATTCTGACATTGTAAATTTATGTTGAACAGCTTTCTTAAGAAGCCGGGACCGATCACATCAAAAATTCTATAACATGATGACCAAAACACAAATGTTTATTCGCTTCATTGAGGAATGTTCTTTTGTCAGTGATAAAGATGCAAGCCTGGCATTTTTTGATGATTGTGTAGATAAAGTAAGTAATAGTTTGTCTCTAGTTCTCTAACTTATTTTGTGTGACTATTAGAAATGTTAGGAATTACAGTTTCTATTTATGTTTTACTAACTTTTAACAAAATCTAAATTAATTTTATTCCATCATTGATCCTTATTATGAAAGTTTTGGTGGCCTACCAGATATTATGGAAGACAACAACCCTCTTAGGAATACCCTATAGTATTTTACTAAATTGTGAGTTTTATTTTAGCAGTCAGGTCTGTATCCCTGCCTGCCCACTTACAGACAATAGGACTTTTGTTCAAGCCTGTAGACCTCTAACTTGAACATTCTTAATTTTCACCTCTCTTTTTTGTCTAAGATGGATTGTCACATGCTGAGACATAGGCATAGAGCATAATGAATATTTCATCTGAATATTTCTACAATTTGGGAGTGAGTTGTAGCATAAATTAAGTGAACTAATTCTATTTAAATTAGTGTGTGAAACCTTCCCTTTTCCTTCAGTCCTAATATCATTAGGTGGGATACAGTAAGGAGGGTATCCATGCTGGAGAGAGGGTAGGTAGGGAACAGTGGCACAGAGAGAGAGATCAAAACCTGAATGCAGTGAGGAAGGAGAAGCAGCCTAGTGTGGGGTGTCAGAATCTAAGCTACGTGAGGAGAGCATCCATGTAAGCTGTGACGTAACATGGACAGTCAGAGGACAAACAGAATGAAGAGAGTGTCCATGCTGGGGGATAGACTATTGCAGGGGTTGGAACCTAAATAGGATGAGAAGCACATCCATGCAGAGTTGAGGACAGCATGGAGTGTCGGAGTTTGAGCAAAGTAGGGAGAGTATCCCCATTGAGAAGGGACAGCAAATGGGTGTCAGAGTTTGATCAGGATGAGGGAGATGCCAACTTGGTGGGGCTGGGGGGTTGGTCTGGAACAATCTGCCAAAGCCAAATTAGAGTTAAGAAGTCATATGCATGGGGGAGGGGTGGTGGTGGTAGAGAGGGGAGAATGTTACATATGGGGGATTGATAAAATAAATAAATATATTAAAGATAATGAAGTTTCCCACTGACTAAGAAAGGATTTACAAATGGAGAAAAGGAGCCTGACTGGTGTGGCTCAGTGATTGAGCATTGACCCATGCACCAAGAGGTCATCAGTTCAGTTCCTGGCCAGGGCATGTGTCCAGGTTATGGGCCAAATCCCCAGTGGGGGGCATGCTGGAGGCGGCCAATTGATGTTCTCTCTCTTCAATGTTTCTATCTTTCTCTCCCTCTCCCTTCCTCTCTCTAAAACCAGTAAAAAGGAAAAAAAAAAAAAAAAATAGAGATAAAAGGGGAAAAACCAGAACAAACCCTTTAGTATTGGAAGTTCCATATGATATCATTGGTTTTCAATATATATAGATAAATATAGAAATAAGTATAGATGTACACATACACACATTTCCTAGCTCTGTACCCTGAGAAGACCTGGGATCAGCCATATCCCAGTAGCATTTAGTACACCTAATGCACAGATTTTGGCTCCTAAATACCATTCTCCACCAAAAGGAATCAGGATTTTGGAGAAATTATCTCAGACCATCTCTGGAGAAATGGTCTCAAGTCTAGGGCAAGGAAACTACAAATGAGCCCTGAAGTAGCTTATGCTAGAAAATAAGAAATTGTCCCAACACAAACACTGAAATACAATCCAGTTTATTTTTTTTATTTTTATTTTTGTGGGTTTTTTAAATCTTTTTATTTATTTATTTATTTTTTTTTTTATTTTATGAATTTTTATTTATTTTTTTGTTACAGATATTTTACCTTTTTACCCCATTGGCACCCCCCACCCCACCCCCCCTCCACCCTGTCCCCGGCTTAGTTGTCCATGTCCATTGGTCATGCATATATGCATATAAGTTCTGTGGTTTATCTCTTCCCACCCCCCCACCCCCCATCCCCTCTTCTGAGGGATGTCAGTCTGTGCCCTACTTCCATGTGTCTGGGTCTCCTGTATTCCTCAGACTGTTATGTTCATTATATTTCATATATAAGTGAGATCATGTGGTATTTGTCTTTTTCTGCTTGGCTTCTTTTACTTAGGATAATACTTTCCAGGTCCCTTCATGTCGTCTCAAAGGATAAGAGATCTTTCTTTCTTACCGCTGCATAGTACTCCATCGAGTATATGTACCACCACTTTTTTATCCATTCGTCTACTGGTGGACACTTGGGCTGTTTCCAGATCTTAGCTATTGTAAATAGTGCTGCTATGAACATGGGGGTACATATATTCTTCCCGATTGGTGTTTCAGGCTTCTTAGGGTATATTCCCAGCAGTGGGATCACTGGGTCAAATGGAAGTTCAATTTTTAATTTTTTGAGGTAGCACCATATTGTTTTCCATAGCGGCTGCACCAGTCTACATTCCCACCAACAGTGTATTAGAGTCCCCTTTTCTCCACACCCTCGCCAACACTTGTTGTTTGATGATTTGTTGATGGCAGCCATTCTGACAGGTGTGAGGTGATACCTCATTGTTGTTTTAATTTGCATCTCTCTGATGATTAGTGATGTTGAGCATTTCTTCATATGTCTCTTGGCCATTGGCACGTCCTGTTTGGAGAGGTGTCTATTCAGCTCCTCTGCCCATTTTTTAATTGGGTTCTTTGTCTTCCTTTTGTGGAGTTGTATGAGCACTCTATATATATTGGAAATTAACCCCTTATCTGATACATCATTGGCAATGATGTTCTCCCATACAGTGGGTTGCCTTTCCATTTTGATGATTGTTTCTTTTGCTGTGCAGAAGCTTTTGAGTTTGATGTAGTCCCATGTGTTCATTTTCTCCTTTATTTCTGTTGTCTTAGGTGATGTATCAGTGAAAATTCTGCTCCGTATGATGTTCGAAATTTTGTTGCCTACATTTTCTTCTAGAATTTTTATGGATTCACGGGTCACATTTAAGTCTTTTATCCATTTTGAGTTCATTTTTGTGTATGGTGTAAGTTGATGGTCTAGTTTCGTTTTTTTTGCATGTAGCTGTCCAATTTTCCCAACACCATTTATTAAAGAGGCTGTCTTTACTCCACTGTATGCTCTTGCCACCTTTGTCAAATATTAATTGAGCGTATTGCCTTGGGTCCATTTCTGGGTTTTCAGTTCTGTTCCACTGGTCTATAAGCCTGTTCTTGTGCCAGTACCAGGCTGTTTTGGTTACAGTCGCTTTGTAGTATAACCTGATATCTGGTATTGTGATCCCACCTACTTTGTTCTTCTTTTTCAAGATTGCTGTGGCTATTCGGGGTCTTTTTTGGTTCCATATGAACTTTTGAAGTATTTGTTCTAGTTCTATGAAATATGCCGTTGGTATTTTGATGGGGATTGCATTGAAGCAAGGCTGGTACAATATTCGCAAATCAATAAACGTGATACACCACATAAACAAAATGAAGAATAAAAACCACATGATCATATCAATAGATGCTGAAAAAGCATTCGACAAAATCCAGCATCCATTTCTGATAAAAACGCTCAGCAATGTAGGAATAGAGGGATCATATCTCGACATAATAAAGGCCATATATGAAAGACCTACAGCCAACATCATACTCAATGGACAGAAACTAAAAACATTTCCATTAAGAACAGAAACAAGACAGGATGTCCACTTTCGCCACTCTTATTTAAAATTGTACTGGAAGTCTTAGCCACAGCAATCAGACATGAAGAAAAAATAAAAGGGATCCAAATTGGAAAGGAGGAAGTGAAACTGTCATTATTTGCAGATGACATGATATTGTACATAGAAAATCCTAAAGACTCCATCAAAAATCTATTACACTTAATAAATGAATTTGGCAAAGTAGCAGGATACAAAATTAATGTCAAGAAATCGACGGCATTCTTGTACATCAATGATGAACTCACAGAAAGAGAAACTGAAAAAACAATCCCATTTACCATCGCTCCAAAAAAATTACGATACCTAGGAATAAACTTAACCAAAGAAGTAAAGGACCTATTTGCAAAAACTACAGGTCATTGAAAAAAGAAATAGAGGAAGATATAAAAAAGTGGAAGCACATACCCTGTTCATGGATTGGAAGAATTAACATCATTAAAATGTCCATACTACCCAAAGCAATCTATAGATTCAATACAATCCAGTTTAAAGTGGCTACATCTGGGATGATTGGAACATCAAAAGTTAGTAACAGATTATAACCCATTGAATAAAATAGGAACCTATGAATCTACACAGATATCCATTAAGAGTCTGATAAGAAACAGGATTTTAGCCCTAGATGGTGTGTCTAAGTGGTTAGAGCGTTGGCCCTTGCCATCTGGGTTGCAGGTTTGATCCTGCACCCTGGTTAGGCGCATGCAGGAGGCAACCAATTGATGTGTCTCTCTCACATCTATGTTTTCTTTCTCTCTCTCCACCACCCTCCCTCCATTCCCCTCTCTGTAAAAATCAGTGGGGGAAAAAATATCCTCTGGTGAGGATTAACAAAAGAAAAAAGAAATAAGATTTTGCATAGTTTTAAATTACTTCCAAACAAAATACATGTTAATTATTAAAAAAGGAAAGAATAACTTTATAGTGGAACAGAAAGCCTGGCAGACACCACTCTAATGCCGTGATCAAAGTGAACATTATCAATAATGGAACAAATCAACATCATATGCCTCTGACAGGCTATAGTGAGGATGCAGCAGCATCAATTCTGTGATATTCCTGCCAAAGATGCATAAACTGTATAATCCCAAGAAAACATAAGACAAACTCAAATTAAGGGACATTATACAAAATAGTTCTGTAATTCACAAAGAGTCAGAGTTAGAAAAAAAGGGAAAATTGAGAAACTGTTCAAAAGTGAAGGAAACTAGAGAGACTTGAAAACCAAATACAGTGCGTAGTTCAGAACTGGATACTTTTGATATAACATTGTTAAGATAATCAACAAAACTAATGTAGTTTGAGGATTAGACAGTAGTAGTAGTATAATGTTAATTTCCAGATTCATG